CCAGCAACAATGATCTTTGTCAGTATACAGTATTGCCTCCAATGCTTTGAGAATAAAAAAGAACAAAACATGTTTATTTTCTGAGCAATTTCATTGCCTTCGTGTTACAGTGTCCCTGCAATTTCTGCTATCAGACTGACAGAAAAAAAGCCATTCCTAGCGAACAATGTCAGGACTGTGGTTTAATGAGAGACGCTGATTCATCTATGGATTCTTGGCAGTGCAACCGAATTAAAAAGAGATAGCTTTGTAGGTGCTTAAAGACTATCTGTTTATACGGAGATATCTGTAGACACATGATGTCCTGCCTGCTTTGAAAGTCTCAGGTCTGGATAGAATTATCAAATAATAATAATAATAATGAAGACTCGCATTATCTGCACTTTGATAATGAGATGAAGTTTATTAAACCTCCAAAATATTGTTTGCAGCAAGGCATAAGTTACACCACCCCGTTTTTTGTTGTGTATATCTACAGTATGTATCATCGCATATGCATTAATAGGTGTGCAGTCAGTCTGTTGACAGAGTGATCCCTCCAGCTGCTGTAAAGGCAGAGACAGCATCTGCTTAAATCTTAATCAAACAGCACCATCTCACTGGATTTAAGTTGGTATCAAAGGCTTATTTCAAATGCAGGTGCTTTGCTGGACAGAGGGTAATTATCCCCATTATTCAAATGACACAAAGGCGGCCCTTTCATATTTCATAGCCTTTTTGTTTTGTTGCCGTCCCTAACGCAAGTGTGCACTTTTCTTCCAGCGCCACACAAAGGGCTTGATTCTGTTTTCCTTCTCCATGCTCCCGTTTTTTCCTCTACCAGAGAGGGCTAAGATCTCTGTTTTGCAAACCGATTCACAGCAATCAGGGTCCCTGGCGATTAATTAGACTGTCTGCTCAAAGACCTCCGTCACAGCAGGTCAGCGTCACCTAGTTCTGTAGCGTCCATATCATACCATACATACACAATCATAAACAACCACACTTATCTCCAGTTTCAAATGCATGGCATAAAAAGAGCAATAGATGGCTAGACAGCTATCATATATAGATGATGGATGGATGGATGGATGGATAGATAGATTCTTGTCGAATTTGATATTTAGGCAGTGTTGGGGAGTAACTAGTTACATGTAACGGAATTACGTAATTTAATTACAAAATAAACATAACTGTAATCTGGTACAGTTTCTAAGAAAAAATGTGTAATTAAATTACAGTTATTTATGAAAATGTTAAAGATTACAAAGGGGGTTAACATCTGAATATTTCCACACACATACAGATTTGATTTATTTCTTTCCCAAATTGCATCGACTGCTCTAAAATATGAGACACCAATGTTTAAGGAGTTCAGAATAGGACACATGCTTATCCAATAACTGTTTTATTTCATGTTTGTGTTTATATATATGCTTTTTTTTTTTTTTTAGATTAACAGTTTTTTTTCCAAAGCATTGCTAGATGCCAGTGTTACTTGTCATGGCTATGCAAATATTTTGATTTCAAAAAGCTAGTATTAAACTATATCTTATGATCATTAATCTGTATTTAACCGCAGAATGATCTCAAAGTAAACATAGCTGCCAAGGTCTGATTATGTGGTGGCTGTGCTTTAAATGAAATAATTATTCTCTTAATTCAAGTGAAGAAGTATTTTGAAAGTCTGATACTAACTAGTGTGGAGTCCTACTGTAAAGTTAACCGTGACTGCTTTAAATGTTTGAAAATTAAAATAACATTTGAAAACATTTGTTAAAAATTTAGAAAACTAATCAAAAAATATTTAAATGTAATCAGTTACATTACTTTAGTAAAGTAATTGAAATAGTTACACTACTATTACATTTTAAATAGGGTAACTTGTAATCTGTAACCTATTACATTTCCAAAGTAACCTTCCCACCACTGTATTTAGGCTACTTAGTTTGTTTATATTAATGTATCATATTGGTAGAAACGTTTCTTTCTTTCTTTTACTTGTATGTTTTTTGTGTAATTTTCTTTATTTAACCTGAGCATAGATCACATGACCATATCCAGCAACACACCTCAAATATTTAAATGACCACTCAAATTACATTGACATTTTAAATTCTGTTTTTTTCTTCTTTTTGTGCTCTTGTTTTATTATAGATCAGTGTGTACACCACATACATGGTACAAAGCTATTGAGAATACAGTAAAAAAATACTGTAAAACAACTAAATCTACAGAAACATACTGTACACCGCAAGAAACTAGGTAGGAGGGTAGTTATAGAAAGATAGATAGATAGATAGATAGATAGATAGATAGATAGATAGATAGATAGATAGATATGCATATATACACAAAAAGTATTTTAGTAGAAAACAAAGTATTTCAAGCCACAATTCAAAGACAATTCAAAGACATCTTCAAAGACATCTATTTATTCCAATGTGGAATAAATGTATAAGATCTGATACTTATTAGCATCAAATGGCTCTGTATGTGATAACTGAGTGTGGGAAGAGAAGGCTCCAGTTTCTGTCTTGCTAATCAGTGTTACTATGTGTGAGACATAAAATGTGTGCCACTGACATTCACAGCTGGTCTGCTTCAATTCTGTGACGGGAAATAATGCGTGTGCGTGCGTGCTTGTGTGTGTGGGGGCTGCCTCACAGTGGCATATGATTCCATCCGTCATATGAATCTCACCTGAGCACTCAGAATTAGCGCAAAGCTTGTCAACACACCCCACAGGCCGTGTAGGGAGAAAAGAGTGGTGCAATGATGAGCAGTCGACATTTTAGATGTCTACAGAGAGAATTCTTTATCACTTTGACTACGATTTGGCAAACCATATTGGAGAGACAAATTGGTGTTCGAGAAAAGGTGAAGCTTTGAAGGCAGCGCCCCCTGTTGGATAAGATTCTTTAATGCATGTGGAATGAATGAATGAATGAATGAATGGGGTCCTGTAGAAGCTCCTCAGAAATATGTTATGCATGATGCGCAATTGTCAGATGATTGACTTTCATTTCTTTTAAGTGGCTTTACAGTGACGTCAACCACAACGCCTGGGGCACGTTCAATGTCAAACCGGTGCGCAACATTTTGCTACGGTTTCGGGGTTGAACAACATGTTTCCTGGAAACGGTGTGCAATGGGGTTTGAGATACGTTTTCTCTTGTTTGGTGGGTGTGTCAAAATGTCAGCCCAATCAGCAGCAACATGCATATAAACCATGCGGTATTAAAGAGACAGCTGGCACAATGTAATTAACATCCAAATAAATTCACAAGAGCAAGTATATTGTTTGCACATGTTTATTTACATTAGACGTAAAATAACTGAAATAATAAGAGCACAAGTATAGATCTCGAACTTCTTTTAGTCTGTCTAAATATCATATAGTAATTGCAATGTCTTCTGGTCCATATCCTTTCCTTAGGAAGGTGTGCTAGACACTGATTAATGTAACATAAAAATACTATACATATTTTGCTATTGTATCGTAGAGTGACACTTTCAGAAACTTTTCTATACTCTGATTATATAATGGTAAATATTACTATATCATAGCACAACAACAGTGATCAGCAATAATAATAAGCCTAATACTCACAATAAAAATAATAAGGTCATATAGATCATAACAGTCTCGGAGATAAGAAGTGGATTATCCTTCACCTGAAGTTTTTGTCTTTCATCCTGAAATGCGAGGCACATGTTGGATCACAATAATTAGGAACCAGTCTCCACAAATCCCTTCACTTGATTGGGATGATCTTTTATTCTGGATGGCAAGGGCAGTGATTGTAACATCGAGGGTATTTTGCAGTATTAAACACGTATTTATACCGATTTCATCAGGCTCCGAAAATTCTTCAAAAAGAACACAAAGAATGGCCTTCTCAGCTGCCATAGTTGCAACTCTTGCGTCAATAGAACAGGGTGTTCCACGCACCACCGTTTCCGTTTAAAAAACGTTTTGCACCGTTTTGTCGGGGTTGAACGCAGCCCTGAGGTATCAGCAGACCTACATATTATTTAGCAAACTGAAATGTCTCTATAATTCTTATTACTCCCTTTAATTTCTCAATCAAGATTCTGACTGTATGATTCCAGAATGCAAACATTATCCAAAACATGACTGGAAATATTCACACACGTTCAAAATAAGTTAGGCCTACTTCTTTTTGGTATAGAGGTAATAGGCCTACATTTAATAATTCATTGCTCATATGGTAGGCTATAAGGTCACGAATTGCTAATGCTGAATTAAATATATATTTTTTTTTTATAAAAATAATAAAACATTTTATCATGTATTTAATTAACATACCAGTCGTTAAATACAATAGACCTATATAAATATTAAATATGTTTTATATTTAGGCTACATGAATACGTCGCCCCCTTATGAAGAGGCAGGTTTACCTGGAGTCGATAACAATCATCCACAAGAATATTGTCATAACATGCTGTAGCCTAATTTGTCAAATCAAGTAGCCTAGCCTAGCCAAATGAGGCGGTAACATATCAAAAATGTTTGCTGTTACAATAATGTGGAGATTTGCAATGACATAATTACTATGTTCTTCTGATAGAATGAAAAGACAGAAACAAATTGATTTCCTCTATTTTCATTCAAACTGAGATAATACAGCAGTCGGGGTGTTTTTCTCCTTTTAATCAGTGACATTGATGAACAAATGTAGTCCACTAATATTATTGTTTAAGTACATTTTCAAAAGGACCTTCAATACACAGCGCTCGAGAAGAATTGATGTTTTCACACCTTTTGACGCACAAAAGACTGTTGGTTTCGATACACGACGACCCAGGGACATGTATCCCTTTATGGATCACAGGGGCACATCAAAGACCCAAAGGACCTCACAGACCATCAAAAGACTGCAAGTTTCTATAAGTGAACTTCGATGGCCAGCCAACACTCATGAAGTTCACTTTCCAGAGGACGGTGTAGGAGAAGGATCTCAGGGACAGTTTTCCTCCTCAGCGTGGTGGATCATAACCTAGGTTCGACATGAGGTGGTTTGTCTGCGGGGCCTTGAGCGCAGTTCTCGCGCTCTGGGTCGGTCTGGTGAGCTCCACGGCGTCGTTTCCTGGATTCCACGAGTCGTTGAGGAGTAGGATGCGAGCACCTGGAAAGAACGGCGGAGGTCAGGCGGGTCACAGCCGACATACGAACAGATATCCGCTGTATATGCTGCACCTCTACCGGACCTTTCTAACGGGAGACGACAAACATATGAGCCATGAAAATCCAACTCTTTACGAGTCCGATTCGGTCTTGAGTCTCGTTGCCAAGAGTGAGTATGCATATTTTTATTATTATTATTTTTTAATGAATTTAAAACATATTTTAACGTTTTACAATAGCCAATGAGTATTTTGTTTACTTTTTAGACATTTTAGATGTTAAGAATGTATATATGCAATTGAATTAAATATATATTATTAATAAATTAAGATGAAATATATAAGGGACATTTTATGTTTTTATTTTGCACGGTCAGTCGCTGCATTCAGTGGTCGTTCATCGCGAATGATGATTGTTGTATAGACTAACTGTATTCTTACATAACTCGTGTTACATCCACGAGTAAAAAAAGAAGAAATAATGTAAAACAATGCTTTATTTACATTTATTTGTTTGTTTAGTAAGTAGCCCTGTGTTAAGTGGCAATATGTAAAGTCACCCGCCGGTCATTATCGCAAAACAAATCTCTTCAGGTTTATACAAATAATTTGATAGGTAGTTTAGCTGGTTCTAGGCTATTAGCCAAGTCATGTATTATGCTTATTAGTTAGCGTGTGTATTAGCTTCAAGACGTCTGTTTCAAAGTGACTTGGGCAGCAATACACATCTAAACAATAAGAACATTCTACTTTATTAACTGCTTGTCCCGATTGTGGCCATGTGTGAAAACATCTTTCAAGATAATTAAGCACCACATATCACTTATCCTTTCTAGAACGTTTAAATGTCTGTCCTTTGACCAGTCACTAATTTATTGTCCATATATCTTTCAGGTTGCCATCAGGTTGGTGACAAACTAGCCGTGACATTTGACATGTCCTCCATATCAGCAAGCGACAAGGTCCAGCGGTCTGAGCTTCGCATTCGCCTTCCAGAATTCGCCTCCGAGATGGAGGTGGACATCTATCACGCATTCAAACGTGAGTGCTACCGAAGCCCCTGCGACGAAGTAAGGATTCACCTCGGCACTGTGAAAGCCAAACCAATTGACTCAACCTCCCATTCCTCCTGGAGGGTCTTCAACATCACAACGCTGCTCAAGTACAGGTTTCTCCAAGATGAGAGCATGTTCTCAGAGGAACCCATTCAGATGCTTGCAAGATCCGAGGGCGAGGGGCATGAGAACGTCCAGCATCTGACAGCCAATAGGGTCATGATGGTGGTTTACTCCAAGCAGAACAGGGCAAAGACATCCACCCTCATCCAGACAGCAGAGCACTCCAAGTACATAGCTCTGGACCGGGCCAGTGGTGGTGAACCTGTGCTTCGACGTCACAGGAGGAACCACCAGACTGAAGACAGAGTGCGTGATGCAGCAGCCAGTTTGATTCCAGATGTTTCGCAAGAAGAAGGGGAGAAGAAATCTCTCTGCATGAAGGTGGATATGTGGGTGGACTTCGATCAGATTGGTTGGAGCGACTGGATTGTTTATCCGAAGCGTTACAATGCCCATCGGTGTGAAGGTAGCTGTCCTACACCTGTAGATGAGACCTTCACCCCAACCAACCATGCCTACATGCAGGTAAGAATCTCTAAATCTTTGAAATAGTTGCAATTAAAATGTTTACTCTGTGCTAGACTGACTCTAATGATTGTCGTCTTCTCATTTGCAGAGTCTTTTGAAGCTGCACCACCCAGACCGCGTCCCATGCTTGTCCTGCGTACCCACCCGTCTGGCTCCACTCTCAATGCTCTACTATGAGAACGGCAAGATGGCCATGATACACCACGAAGGGATGGTTGTAGGAGAATGTGGCTGCCACTGAGTCTCCAAACCCAAAATGAACTCAACTTTAGCACTTTGGATATGTTCCTTAAATCCAGAAATACATATTTAAAGCACAAATGAAGAAAAATTGCTTTCATGAGGTATCCTGCACTGAGGCACCTGGATTACTTAATGCTATTGTTGAAAGCTTTGTGTGTTTGCCTAATTTGTAAATAATAGAGTATGTAAATTCTCAAATTTAATAAAGTTTCATAATGTAATAAATGTATTGTGTTTTTTTGTTTTAAATCAGCAGCAGATGAATAAGGAAAACATAAATTCTCTGGTGTTTATTGATTTTTTTTATGCTTAAATGTCTCTTCAGAAATAACAGGGCAGTTTTAGAGAACTTCACAGTAAAAAAATAAAATAAAATGTACATTCTGTTGGATGACACTTTAGGTGAACATACTCATCAGGATAAACATAAATTAGATTTTACATTACAAAAGCTTCAATGCCAAATGGAAAGTGGTCAATTTCACTGATTGTGGTTTGCTAAATTGATCGGAGTTGGCATCTGGATTTCCTCCACATGATTCTTGATGAAAATATCACCAAAGAAGAGAACTGTTGCTCCCTCTACTGACCATTCTCTAAAACTACACAAATCTGTATCATACAAACAGTGTCACATGGTGGCCTGTGAGATGTCTTCCATGTCTTAGGCAGAAGTAGAGCTGCATTGATGTGCTTGGGATGCACTATCTGACATCTGAGATAGTGGCTCTTTCAGGCACAACAGTGTTAGCTGATGTCGAGAATCTAAAGTAATGGCTTTGTGCGCATCTTGAATGACAGCATCAGCACAGGAAAATAAAATATCATTTAAACAGTAGATAAATGAAAGAAAAAAAAGGCATGACATGGAAGGAGAAGTCTTCTGTGCATTTATCCTCTCAGGGAACAGTTACCATCACAGCGATATTTGTTACAGTTGTCGCCTCATTCGTGTAGCAGGTCCTCTGTTGTAGTTAGATATCCATTTCAAACTGGGCATCTTCCCCTTGAAATCAGAAAATGAAGATTTGTTTAATGTATTTTTAACCCTATAAAGCCTACTGCATTACACTTGATAAGCACATTTCTAAGCCCTCTGAGTTATCAATACAATCAAAACCTTGCTGAAAAATCTGTTGTACACAATCTACTACATGCCTTCTGTCATCAGATTTTTTTTAGAAAAATCATGTTAAAATGTGAGCATTAAATATGATACATAATTTACATATGCATAAATATTAGCAACTGCACCAAAATGCATGCTTTTGCTCAGTTTGGGTCTCTTGAATAAAGCGGAGTTGTTTTTTCCTCCTCGAGTATAAGCTCCATATTTTCTTACATATACAAAAAAAAAAAAAAATTCCCCCCCGGGTTAAAATCCCCTTTTTTTTTAAAAAAAAAAAAAAAAAAAAAAAAAGATTTTTTTTAGGTATTTTGTTTAAAGGGTCAATAAACTTCCATTAAAAAAAAAATTTACACTATAAATTGTTTTATTGTAAAATAATATAAATGTTTTATTATAAAAGAATATAATCTTATTGTTATTATATTTTATTATTAAAATATTATAAAATGTGATTATTTAACATGTCAGGCTTTACATGGTTAACAAATTTTAGCTTCAGTGCACATTTACCTGCACTCTTGTCCGCTGGGGGGCTGATGTGGTTATTATTGACAGTTTGTTTGGAGTAGGCCTTGTCATTATTCATGGTGACCGAAGGAGGACTGGTCACCCCCGGAATGTCAGGGAGGCAGCAGGGCGGTGTGCGGGCCAACGGGGAGCTGCGACAGTCCAGCAGGAACTTTCGGTCATAGATGATCCGGGTGCCTATATAATAATTTAGTAATCAAATCAAGATTATATTATGGGAAGGAAACATCAGTCCTATAACAGGCTGCAAGAGCAAAGTTTACTGACAAGCCTGTGAAAAAATTGGAGGACATTCAGTCTGTGCCATGTTAGTATTGCGGGTTACATTCAATCCAAACATGTCTAAAGCGGTGCAGTTTACAACATTCAAGAGTTGCATCACTAAAAGTTGAGCCTTGTAAAGTGCCAACGTTTGACAACCTATTTTTCATTAAAAAAAAATCCTTATCAGAAGAGAAATGCACAAGCCAACAGGCTGAAATGGAGTAGTGAGAACATACTATCAGCTCTCCTCCTATCAAACCTGTTGAACCTACTGTGAACAGTCACACGCACGCATATCCTTGAACTACATTCACTCAGTGAGGTAAAGCTAATGAGTGCATTATGGTGTAAACAATAGCCCGAAACGCCTATAAACATAACACACTGGTTTAAGCTTAGTAATGAAGCATGCACACCAATGACAACAGAAGTGATAAACATGATGCAGCACTATTTAACCAACAAAAAGTCACGACAAAAAAATCCCAAGAGCAATATATCATGAACCTAATGAGTCCCATGATGTACATCACAGCTCAACTGATAATCTAGACAAACAGTGATTGATACACTGTTTAAAATAATAAGAATAGTCGTCCTTATGCACTAGAAAAGCAGAAGTGGCCTTTTACAATGGGAAACCAACAAAGTCACATGCCTCGAGAGCCTTCACATCCTCTTTTGTCGACTGTTTACAATCTGTCATACGACAAAATCCACAATGTACATAATAAAACATAAAAAATAAATAATTATGAAAAGACATAGAATGTTTCTATTTTTCACAATTGCTAAAGTGCATCAGCCAGACTTTTCCTCAGCTATAAAAAACATTTTTCCTTTAAAAAAAAAAAAAAAAAAAAACGAACAAGTAAATTTGACTTCATCTTCAAAAAGTGTAAACATTTCATTAATATCACGCATATTAATACACCATACCAGTCTGTCCAAAATACACTTGAAGGGCGTTCAAGGCCATGATGTCATCTTTAAGGGATAGTTCACCCAAAAATGAAAATGTGATGTTTATCTGCTTACCCCCAGGGCATCCAAGATGTAGGTGACTTTGTTTCTTCAGTAAAACACATATGATGATTTTTAACTCCAACCGTTGCAGTCTATCAGTCATATAATGCATGGCAATGGTAACAAAATCTATGAGAGTAAAAGAAACATGCACAGACAAATCCAAATTAAACCCTGCAGCTCGTGACGACACATTGATGTCCTAAGACACGAAACGATCGGTTTGTGCCAGAAACCGAACAGGCCACTGTACGTGGAAAGTCACCATTCCTGAATGAGTTCGCGCGAGAGAATGTAATCTTTTAGTTTTAAGTCAGTTTGAACAATCCGGATAAGCGCAAGTAAGTACCATTTTGATTAGCCGTCGTACCTACAATGACTGTGCACTGTGTAAACAATGAGTGACATATACGCGCGCGAGATCACTTCTGGCACTTGCGTAAACTACGCCAGAGCGTTACACACCTCACACACCAGATGCCGTGCGCACGCTCGAAGACAGTTGGACATAGTGGTGTATTAGAGGTAAAATATGATATAAATAATGTTCGGTCTCTGGCACAAACCGATCGTTTCGTGTCTTAGGACATCAATGTGTCGTCACGAGCCGCAGGGTTTAATTTGGATTTGTCTGTGCATGTTTCTTTTACTCTCATAGATTTTGTTACCATTGCCATGCATTATACGACTGATAGACTGCAACGGTTGGAGTTAAAAATCATCATATGTGTTCTACTGAAGAAACAAAGTCACCTACATCTTGGATGCCCTGGGGGTAAGCAGATAAACATCACATTTTCATTTTTGGGTGAACTATCCCTTTAAGTGATTTTAATGCCATAAAAGAAATGTAAAAAAAAAATGTAAATAGTCAAAAGGGTCAGTAATGAAATAACCTTTTAATTAAAATATTTCATATTTTAATCATTCCTATTTCTACGTTTAGAATTGTATAATTTAAGCATATTAGAACATTATTTCTAACATTCCAACGTCTAAGAAAATCAGCAGAGCATTGTTTAGCAAAACAAATACAAGACTTTTAACGGCTGCCGTCGTGCCAATAAAACAATGTTCTTCTCGTCGTGTCGATAACATTCCCGAATTTATTACCCCATTCACAGGTACAGTTAAAAGGCAAACAATACAAGACAAACAGGCTTGGAGCGTTAAGAGCACGCGCACCGCGGTCTGTCAAGCACAAAGACAATGCGAGCGGTGCGCGAGCTCTGAGATGCATCGCTATGTCGCGGTCAAAACAAAACCAATGCATGCAGCTGCGAATGCCCCCAAACGATTTATCTGCAAGTGCGTGACATTTACCTCCAGGAGTCGTGCTAAAAAGGGTCCCTCCGGGCGTTGTAGAGTAATTATGAGGCATATGGGCCGCATCGTTGATTGTGACTCGTCTGGTGGTCGGAATTGCCTGACTGATGGTCTTCTGACTGCCCAAGGACATTTTCAACACTAGTCTGCCAATCACCAATTCAGCCAGCTGCCTTTATCAAATAGTCTTTGCACCTTAAAGCAAAATAATAAAACAGTTCAGCTCGAATTTAACCGGGAAATGTAACTTATATGTTAGCAGCAGTTCAGTATCAATTGAACGTTACCTTCTATAATTATTTACCTTGTCCGTTTGTGGCAAACTTGACTACATACAAAAATAAATAATACTAAATATTTGAGCCTGTATAACACTTCATTCACACTCGCAAACTAGCTAAAATGCTAGGCTTCTCCGTGACCACGTCTTCTCTCTCACTCCTTCATGCACACACCACGCACTCAACAAAACACTAACAGGAAAGGGCTATTTAAAACGGAGAATTAGTGCAATTGCGCCTCCACTGGTGTGCGGCGGTATTGCAAGAGCCGATGGGAAATGTAGTTTTATTTATTTTTTTGACGTTTACACGACTTGTTTCCGTTACGCAGATTCATGGACAAATCTTTACTTGCCATTCGTGAATTTTAATGGCAACATTTCCACCGAAATTATTTAGAGATTATCTTACTTAGAGGGTGTTTTTTTGTTACACAAAAACAAAATTCGGTTTAATTTTACTTAAGTTACTTAATTGTCGTTTTCGAATCATTTTTAAATAGGCCTATCACACATTCTGTAAAAACATTTTTGGAATTCCTAATTAATTTTCTTTAAGTGCACAAGCAACATCAGAAAAAACTAGGTAGCCTAGGCCTACTATATTTAACGTGGAAATGCAAATTTAATACTGGATTTGTAAAATATGATTATTTTGTCAGCACCATAAGATTTTATTTGATTATGGTGACAAGTTGGAGCTGAAAATTAGTTTGAACCCATCTCCGTTCATTAATTCTTTTACGTTATATTTATAAACGCATATCAGTAATATTTGGCACATTCTCTCACACACGCACACAGTGTCACAATATGTCACATCTTTCTTTATTAATTTTTGTAAATGATCTGAGCTGGTGTGCAGGGTAAATGATCTATACATATCTTCATATCAGAATGAATCTGAATAAAAGGCTTGTATACATATTCAATGTTCGTATTTCCTCTCTCTGTTACAATAATAAAAAAAAGGAAATGAAAACATGTTCAAATAGCTACGACGCCTCTACATTCCCCATGACATGGGCATGTATGTATTACTGGATTCTAACTAATATACTTAAATACATCCATAACAACTCTAATAAGGGTGCATAGCATTCTAATTAAATATAGTTTGTCATATATTTGTACATATATTCTTTATTAAAAACATATTTTTCTGTGCATGTGCGCAGTTGCATTCCTTAGTACAGAGTAATATGATATTGCGTTTATATTGTCACTAATCCATTCTAAAGGAGTATAGGTGAAGTCTATTTTTGCAACAGTTAAAACATTGTACATAAACTGTTTTTAATACATGATTGCAATGTTAAATCGTTTTGTTCCAAAAATAAATCAATAACAATTTATTAATTAATAAAAACGTTATCTTCCTTTCCCCCCCTTTTGTTTTCAGGAATTTTATGTCTCGGTCAACAATTACAGCAGCGTTAAAATATTGAACATGTATACATGTCCTTCATGCTGAGGTCACTTCCCTTACCTAATTCCCAAAAACCCTGCTAATCCTTATACTCCTTTGAGTGGATGTTGGATTTACCGTTAAGTATGTTTTATTAAGTAGAATAATGGAAGAGAACTCATCAGTCAAAATAAACCTGAGTGAACTGTAGAAAACAATATACAGTGAAAGCAGAACTCATGAGTGATTTAATGCAAAGGGATGTGTGCAGTCTCACAAAGCACACAATTTCAAGAAATAAACAAAAGCACTAGGATCTGATTAAACATTTTCTTAAAATATGAAAGTACAATCATTGTCATTCGTCCAATTGCCCATGCATTCCATAAATAATTTTTTTAAGTTTGGAGGTTACGTTCATTTATTAATTCACTCACTCATTCAATGGCATCCCTCAACTTAAACTACACAAATGTGTGAGCCAGTATATCACGGTGTGCTCGTGACTAAGCTACTGTGCTGTGATTAAATGCTGAGCACCGTACCTGATTTCATTATGCTTGCCAGCCGTTCAAAGAAACCTTGTCTATTAAAAAGTGAAACAGCTACCGTTCAGTGAACTCGAGTTGGCATGTAGATCACGTAATTGCATACGGTGTGAGATACTCATGCATGCTGTTATATCTCTTGAATCGTATACTTCTTACAAATGCTACTAAAATGTGGGGTTAATACAGTTTATACTGAACACACAAGCGCTCGTAGACAGAAAAACACACGCACACACACCGACAACGACGCAGTATTCCAACTGGTGCAGCACGTTTGATATTATTGCTTTGGTAGACTATACTTTAAGAGTTTTTGTGTATGTTTGGGCTCTTTCGTACTAAAAAATAACGAATAACAACTAAAAAACACATGCGAATGACGTTAATAGGGAATCGGTTACATGAAGTTGCAATAGAAGTAGTTTAAGCTTCTCATAGTTACCATATAACCTTGTTGGTGTGTGTTGGTACTGGTAAAAGTGAAACATTTGAAGCCAAAAAAGTGAGACAGACAGTTGTGAGTTCACAGTTCAGGGGTCAATTTTAAGGTGGACTTTCACAGTGCTGTCTGTATATTTATCAGTCTATTTTGAACTGTACATCTAAATGAAAAAAAAAAAGAATAATCGAAGAGCAAAGTTTCAAATGCTTCCTTGTTGCGAAACTCTATCCGGAATCCCAAACATTACAAAGGCAGTTACTCAGAGATAGTCCCCAAGCCCCACACTTCACAGCTACAAATGTTTTTTTTCCCACCAGCACAGCTTGATTAATAAATATAAAATAAATAAAAACATCCAGGCCTAGTGCGGGCCCAAGAGAACAGCATGAAAAGCGGTGTTAACCAGCATGCAATGCTACATTAGTCTGAAATCGGTCCGACATGGCGGTTTTAGTCGAGCAGCTGAGCTACAAATGCGGATGAACGGATGGTTGGTAGGTCAGAGGTTAGAGTTGTGAACTGTCAGACTGAGAAAGCACACGCCCTCCTTAGGTTACCATTTTGGGTGTTGCGTACAAAGCTACACTACCTGCAACAAATACATTGGTTCGTATTTTTTTTTAACAGAGGGGGGGCTTGAAATTCAAAATGAGAGATATAAAAACAAAAGGTGGCTGACAGTTCAAAAGAACATGGCTACGCTTCACAAAGTGGAAATAAACGAACGTAGACGCTCACGAGCAGGAGAGCACAGTGGCTTGTTGTCATTCCCATGGCAAACACCAAATGAGCTCAGTACCAAGCCAAAAGCGAGTACACATGCGTTAGATACCGACACACACGCACACACACCGACGCACATTCACATAGCATTAGAGTGCATATATCACATTGAATAACAGGATAAAGGGCCTGTGGAAAATGATGTGACGGGCCTAGCATCCACTATGCTGCTGTGTAATGACAATCAATTTGATTGGGGGGGCGGCTCACGAGCAGGAGAGCACAGTGGCTTGTTGTCATTCCCATGGCAAACACCAAATGAGCTCTGACCGATCCAGAAAAAAAGCTCAGTACCAAGCTAGAAGCGAGTACACATGCGTTAGATACCGACACACACCGACGCACATTCACGTAGCATTAGAGTGCATATATCACATTGAATAACAGGATAAAGGGCCTGTGGAAAATGATGTGACGGGCCTAGCATCCACTATGCTGCTGTGTAATGACAATCAGTTTGACAAAATAAAGAACTGTTGCTTTTTTTGGGCTGTTGTGTTCCCAAGACCCTTTGTTTCAAGAGTCTCTCGTTTTCAAGATCAAAGGTTCAAAGGTTTTGCCCTCCCCGCTGCCAGTCCTGGAACGGCCCTTTACCTTGTACCCCTTCAGTTGTTTAGATAATGACAGCTCATAGGTCATGCAGCAGCAGTCAGTCATGCATTTACAGTTGACAGGAAGCACTTTTTTTCACATTTTGTATAAAAAGTTCATGCCCTGTTTATTTTTTTCTTCTGTTAAAAATGTTACAAAACTACAGGAAGAGAACTCCTTCTCCTTGTTGTTTTCCGGTGGTGCTCCATGGTTGCTTGACTGTAGGATTTGGGCGCGATGTGTTGTTCTTTCGCTGCATGTTTTGTTTTTTTCCCTCATCGCTCCATGTCTCATCCTGTCTCCCAGTCGTGCGTAGGTGAAGGATGGTTTGGCAGTGGATGTTCAACCCTGGAAGAGCAATCCTTCATGAACAAATAGCTAATTCAAAGAGACATTGTCTGAAGCAAAGTCACTCTGGCTAAAACGGATGGTCAAATCATTCAAAGTTCAGCAAAGCTAGCTTGCCCCTTGGGTTTGAAATTGTTCTTATGTAATACACCAATCATTTTACCTGTCCCATACCTTCAGGACAGTTTGTGTTTATTTCAGTGCTTTACTCGCCGCAGGCTGGAGTGCTTCACAGTCTGGACATCCCTTTTCACATCCATGCCCAACTGGATAAAAGAAGGAGGGAGTAGAGAGACAAGTGAAAAGATGACTGAATCATTATATAAGTGTGCTAGTTGTTAACTAGTGGTAATTTGGGCATTTCATTAGTTTGACTTACTGAACAAATATGCCCTTCATAAAATAAGTCTTATGTTTTGAGTCTGAATGAACTTAATGAACTGAGATATCTCATTCAACTTTACAGCTCGAATAAAATCCATGCACAGCAGTTAACAAAAAACTAAAAAAAGATCTGCTTTGTTGTTATTTGTGGTAACGCTTGTGATGTTAAACACTCTTTGAGTCTCTTAGTAGATTTGTAGACAAGAAAATCTTAATGATAAGCATTCACAAATGATTCAGTGACTTACGGCGCATAAAAAACACATTAACTTGTTGTCACCTATTGCCGTAATGATGTAACTTACAAGGCAAAACTGAATCAATCAGTGAATTAATTAAAAAAAAAATTTTTTTGGTGAATGGTTTCAAAGAATCACTGAGATGATTCAAAATCTTAATCAGCATATTAGAGTAATTTCTGAACGATCGTGACACTGCTGAAAAGCATTTTTACTGTATTTTTGAAAAGCATAAAATCCTATTTTAAAAAAACAAACATTGTAAAACATTACTGATCCAAACTTTTGAATGGCTGTGTATATAGAATAAATGTAGTTTAACAATAACAAATAGCAAAAAATAAATGAATTAGGAACAAATTAGACAATTATTAATGATAAAAAATAATATCTATGAAATACTAGAGAACAGAAAACTACATTGCCCATCATTATTAATGATATCTCAAAATGGTGAGTCAGATCAATACATTGGTTTGAAACTATTAAAAAAAACCTGAAAGAAAACAGATGACCTACCTTGGTCACAACATTCCCATGCTCATCAGTAAACTGCTCTTCATGTAGATGATCACTGGTGAGATCTATTGGATCATCCTTCTGCAAGGAGGGAATAATTGTTGGATTAATTATCATTACCGAATAATTGAAGTCAAGACTGTGCCCAAAAACATGCTCTTTGCTCAGACCGGACAGGCCCAGGGGACACACCTGTGCCTTCCGTCTGTCCTGGTCCCATGCACGTAATTCCCCCTCCTGATGGGAGAAGCCCAGCCCTTTATCAAAGGGCTGAGTGCCCAGCAGACGCCCCCGCAGGACCTCTGAATGGCCTGTATCACATACTGGTGTAAGCAGGGCCTCCTGTGCTACACGTGACTGATTGTGGTCCTGGGATGATGACATCATGGCCTCCATGGTCTGCCTCGTTTTGGGTTGGGACCAGCTGTGGAGGGAGTCTTTCTCCTGTGAGTAAGGCTGGAAGGCACCGCCGCTGAGCCTGCAAAGGAATGATGGACAAAGACGGTGTAAAGATGTTTGTCTAAAGGGCCGTTCACAACAAGAACTATAAAGATAATTAAAAAGTTTTAATAATGGTTCTAATTCTATGAGAATAGTCCACACCACAACTATAACATGGAATACTAATGTAATCCGTACCTGTCCCCATTGTGTTCAAGGGCTCTGGTCAGTCCAGTTCTCTCGCACAACTGAGCGTAGAGCTGTTGCCCTGTAAGAACAGAAAACTTTTCCTCTGAACTTGTCCCCTTTCCCCCCTTTCCTCCTCCTCTAGCTACACCCGTCAAACTGCCACCCGCCGCCGCTGCCACCTCTGTCCTCTTGCCCTCCGACCTCTGACCTCCAGCTTGTCCATTGTAGTTGGCCTTTGGGACGGCGCCGCTGGCCCATGCTTTTTCTGTGCTTGCCGACACCGACTCATGCTGTATGTCGTCTTCCTCTATCTCCTCTTCCTCCTCCTCCTCCTCCTCCAGCTCCATGATGGAGCCACTTGCCCCGCTTGCTCCGCTGCTGGGCCTCCCCAAACTGCTGCAGGGCAGGCTCAACGTGTTGGCCTCTGAGTCATCTGCACGGCTACTACCATCCAGGGACGAATCCTCAACGGTCACCAGGGACGGACTGACCCCCGCTGGCCACACCTGCACATCTGACATCTCCATCATGGTGTCCTCCTCAGTGGTGGCAATGGGCGCACACTCCAGACTCGACACCTCCTGCCAGTAGGGCTCGATGCCCAGTGGAGAGGGCAGGCTGTACTGCATAGAAGCGGGGGAGAGCAGCTCCTCCCGCACCAGCCCGTAACCTGAGAGATGGCCAAACAAGAAAGGCAACGCTAACACCACACAGAGACAGTGGGGATACGTGGGGAGTCTTGACCCTCTCAGAAAGGTCATGCAGAACACAGTGCTCTGGGTGCAGTCTGTCAATATATACAGTAGGTGAACAGAAGTGCTTTAACGCAAAGCATTAGCACAATAACAGGGCCACAGAAAGTTCATTCTGCAGAGAGAGATTGAGTTCACTCACAACAAGCAATCCAGTTTCAACTTTTAAAGGAATTTTCAGCTTCTAAAGGAATATTCTGGGTTTTTTCAACTTTGGGGCATTTGAAACAAATTTTGCATTTACAATGATGCTTTAATAAATGGAGGTGGTAACCTGCCCAAGATAAACACCTTCGAACTACCATTGGTCCATGGTGATTACGTAATAGGTACGCCGCCTTCTTTGACATGGAAATCTTCTCCAATTAATTTCTTCTGTTCAGTTTGTTAAGGTCAGTGTGTTGATTTTATAGTCTTGTGTCATTATTTTTACTTCAGTGTGAGTAAAAACAACAAACTGGAAATCTACTTAAAAGTGACATATCATGAAAATCTGACTTTTCCAGGTTTTAAGTGCTATAATGAGGTTCCCGGTGCATCTACCAACCAAGGAAATGTGAAAAAGATTAACCCAGTAACTTTGTTTTGGTAAGCCTTTTTCTGCAAGCATCTGAAAAAACGTCTGATTTCGCTCCCTTGGTGACGTGGCAAAGGGATCTCATTATAATATTACCGCCCCTTAATCTGCACACGCCATCATTTGATTTCGCAAGCGACAACGGTGTACCAGTTCTAATGCCATAGCAAAACTTGCTAACTGTTCTGTCTTTGGCTGCACAGACGAGCACAGAACACTATTTAGAGTCCCAGCATCAGAGGAGACAAGAGAGCAATGGATTTATTGATTTATTTAATGTATATTGCTGCTGCCACACAGATCTAAAATAAACATGCGATTTATTTCCCAGCTGTTTACCTTCACAGACATAACCGACTGTTTTTGTAACTCGTGTGTTTTTAACGTAAACTTGTGTGTGAATGAGAACTTGTTTAGTACTCACATGCTGTGATAGCCGCTTTCTGTCCGTGTGCTTCGGTTGTGTGCGTTTAGAAAACCGTATATCAGATGTTTACACTAATATGGTTTAAAACGCATGATTTCAGCGCGATAAACATGATAATCAGAACCAAAACAGATGGTTTTTGCAGGTCTGAGCTGTAATGGCGCAGCTCTATTCTGGAAAAGGGGACGGAGAACAGCAGCTCATTTGCATTTAAAGAGACAGCCCCGAAAAACACTTTTGCTTCCACTCAAAATAGGCATTTTCAAAATGATATAATAAATTATCTGTAGAGTATTTTGAGTTTAAACTTCACAGACACATTCTGGGGACACCAAAGACTTATATTTCATATTGTAAAAAGTGGCATAATATGTCTCCTTTAATAGTAAAAACTGAAGTTGTAATTGCAATTGAAAGCGACACTGGCGGGTTTTTTTTTTTTTTTTGCTTTAAAGCTATCTATTGTATAAAGAGCTGTATTTAATGCTCTCTAAACAAAAGCTACATTTTGCAATAACTCAGTATTATACAATAGTTATCTAATCTTAATTTAGTCAAAAACAATAAAAAATATAATTTAAAGTCACAATGTAACATAAGTAGCGATGGATTTATCCAGAAGAAATGATTAGAGAAGTCTGGCAGACAGTAAAACGTCTGACTAGTTTCACCAGAAGATCAAGTTAAAACATTAAGGTCAAATAAATAAATAAATTCATAAATTAATTAAGGATATACATGAATGGATTATAAAAAAATAGATAAATAACATTCATTTACAAAACAAAATGTTTATTTCATGGCAATGTCAAAAAAGTTGTATTTATTAGCTTCAAGAACAAAACACAAAACAAAAATGTATATTGTTGTATATTAGGGGTGCCCAAACTCGGTCCTGGAGGGCCGGTGTCCTGCAGAGTTTAGCTCCAACTTGCCTCAACACACCTGCCTTCAAGCTTCTAGTATGCCTAGTAAGAGCTTGATTAGCTGGTTCAGGTGTGTTTAATTGGGGTTGGAGCTAAACTCTTCAGGACACCGGCCTTCCAGGACCGAGTTTGGGCACCCCTGTTGTATATTGTAGTATACTAAATGAATACTACATTTAAGTATACTACTATTCATTTGCACATGTGAGGGGACAATAAGGGACAAGTTATGTTATGTTGTTATGTTCAATTTGTTGAAAACCCAGAATATTTCTTTAACATACCTTCCCCATCCACATACACGCTAATATACTCAGATTCAAAATTGACTGATGTCAACTCTTTCTTTCTCATATACGTATGAAAGTTGTGTACATGACCACGCAGTACATCACACTACTGCTGTTCCTGAAACCACGCCTTCTTTCTATGCGTGCACATTTGGGCAGCATTATGCTAATATTTCCACATAGTGACCTAGATATGTGGGGGCGTGTTAGAACAAGCTGTTTTAGGTAGGTGTGGTTGACTCTTAACTTTTATAAAGAATATCTCTTTGGATTTGAGACTTTAGTCTTTGCAACTTTACAGATCTGCTTTATGCACCAAGAGCTTGTAACACTCCAAAGAGAAAGGAAAACTTGAAATTGCATCATATGACCCCTTTAATGAGTTTGCAACAATGGCTTTTCTCTTGTGTGTATGACCATAATGTGGGATACACATTCCTGGGATTGTTCAAATGAATATGGAATTGCAATATATATAACTGATTTGTATTTGCATGATGTGTGCAATTTTTTAGGCTAAAAAATATAAAACATAAAGTGAAATATAATCATCAGTCATGGCTATTTTATAATTTTTGTATTATATTGTGGAGTCTGGGAGTCCACAGCTGTACTGCAGGGTGTCTGGCAATTATTGTTTGATTTCAATTAAATTTTTGTGAAACAATAAAAAATATGCATCAACAAAAAATACAATACTAACTTAATATGCTTAAAGCAACCAAAGTATTGCTAAATTAAGAAGCTAAGGTTCAGCCAAATGTTTTTTTTTGTTCCTTAACAAATTAAAAAGTGTTTAATAAGTATTATTTTTAGCTTTGCAATGAAAGCCACTAAACAATGTATGCAAATACATAAATAAAAAAATACATGATATAATGCATTAAATAATTGTTTGCTAAAAACTATTTACATTTAGAAAGTTTAACTAATTTAAGCCCCGTTCACACCAAGAACGATAACTATAAAGATAACGATATTAGCATCCACACCAAGTGGCAACCTTCCGCTCTCTCTCGTGAAACCAACATGGAAGTGACTAAAACTGTAATTCATCGACTGGCCGCTAGAGGCTGGCTCCAAAAGGGAGTCAGTTCCATAGACCTCCCATGTTAAAATGCCCAACTTTACAGAAGAAAAAAATAAGTTTACAGCCTGGTACAAAAAGTGGTTTTGGTCTATATAGCTAATTTTGCCCTTCATGACAACTGTGAGGGGGGTGAATTTTCTTTTATAACTCATCCATTTAAATTATATTAAGCCTTAAAGTTCTGCATAATTAAGGGCGTGGTCACTTGAGTGGCAGGTGGATTACCGCTGCTGTCACCACCGTCGAGCTAGGAGGGCGTGGTTTCAGCAACCAGCTCCCGCTTCTTTGCCCATTTTCGATTATCCGGGAGTGACGCGCTGCCAAGATGGCACGGCCGGTTCCACCCACTTTGAGCTTCAAAAAACGCTCTTCAGAAACCTACGGGTGACGTGACGGACACTACGTCCATGTTTTTGTACAGTCTATGGTCCACACCAGCGAACGATATCGTCTGTTTATTCTAAGCGTACATGCGTCTGCCGCTTTAAATTCTTGAGCTCATTACAGCAGGATGGATTCTGATTGGCTGTCAATTTTTTATCGTTCAACAGCTGTAGAAAAAATCGTTTTGAAAGTGATTCCAACGATATCGTTTCTCTTTGTTTTTATCGTTATAGTTGTGGTGTCAACTCTGCTATTCTTAAATATTGAGAACGATTTTTAGAACTATATCTTTATCGTTATCTTTATAGTTATCGTTCTTGGTGTGAACGGGGCTTTAGACCATAATAATGTGGACAAACTTGCCTAATAACACAAAACAAGAACTAAAGGTTGAGAAAACACAAAAAGCTTGTCAAGAGTTTTGTTGTAGCATTAAGCTATTTTACAAATTTATCAAACAACTGGCACCATAACAGCAAATGTTGTAGCTGTATATGTAGGTGGATGGATTAATGGATGGATCAATGGTTGGATGGATGATATATTACTGTTGCAATGGAATGATAATGAAAAGAAGAAATGAAGAAATATTGAAGAAGAGAATGAGGATGATTTACAGCGATGGACCTTCACTGTGCCCCCAGTAATGAGAATACACACGAGTCAGAAACACACACACGGTGCATACTGTGAGACACAATAAATCTACTGTCACTCCAATACAAATAAAGCAACACAACATGGGGCAAATGTGTAAAAACGTTGTTGATTGTTATGTACAAAAGCCACATATGAAGACATAAATCTAAACACACACACCCACACAGGTACGCATGCAAACAAATGTAAACCCATTCAAACAGTCAAACACACATAACATTACAGCACAACAAACAACACCAAATTATGGCTCTGAAACATCTTGATATCACACACAACATTGTTCTGAGTGATCTGATAATCTTATATGGCCTGATAAGGTGGTTAGATATTTCTTCACACACACATACACATACACATACACACATATAGATTAGGACTACATTCACATCTTATAATTATATTTTGCATCCTATTTATAATACCTTGGGAGTACCTGTTGCATTCAAGGAGACTTGAAATCTCATATATGTCAAGTAATGCCACCACATGACAATTTGTCGCTACTGAGAGGTTTGTTTAGTAATGAATGGAAAAGGTGGGAATCATAGCATTGCCATGGCATGCCTGATCCATCATTGGGAAAAAATTCTCATTAAATCCTGTCTCAGACATTCTTTCAACCTACATTTCATGCTCAGGATTTTGGGAGACTCAAGTTAGTATGCAATTAGTGGCCAACCCATGCAGCTTCAAACATCTATGCATTGGTTTACTTGGTGTCTAATGTCATTTCTCTCATAAAAGTCCAGAGGATTAGAAGATCAGTGCAAGCTGCAGTCTGTTCTTACCGTTGACGACACTCGGGGAAAGCAGAGCGGAGTCACAATCCGCCAGTCTGCAGGCTCCTTCCTCCGCCGTCTCGGGAAGCACCTGTGGAGCCTGAGCCTCCAGAGACTTCACAATATCTGCCCGGTCAATGTTCTTCAAAGCTCCATGAAGGTTCTCCACTGAAGATATGATGATGGAAGAGGATGCAAATACAAGGAAACAGGACATGAATTAACAATGAACAGCTCTATTTTTATTAACTATCATTTACAGTGATGAATAAATACTGTAAATACTGCAATTTTCACTGTTTGCTCACTTTTATTTTTTTGTTAGTTTGTTTTTCATCCACTATTTTTAGTTTAGTTTAGTTTTAGTTTTATGTCCACCTTCCGTTGATTATTTTATTCCAGTTCAGGGTTTTTAATTCAATAGTTTTCATCTTGGTTGATGATAATAAACCATTATGTATAAATGATATGTATAAAGCCACAAAGATGTAGAGTGTTAATTATGGATCCTCACTCTTGGCCTTCTTGCCCTCTCGGCTGACCCACAGGTTGAGCAGAGCTGAACTCTGGTCCAGGAGGGAGTTGGGATTCTCCACTCTGATCCGGTTTATGTCATCCACACTGAACTGCAGCTCCCTCGCCAGCTCTACAAACGAAAACAGATGAAAGCATTTATAGAATGTGAGTTAAGGGAAAAAACTGAGAGGTAATGAAAAGAGATACAAGAAGTAAAGCTCGCACCGGTCCAGCTCAGTCCCAGCTGTTCTGCTATTACTGTGATCTTTAGCTTGGTTCTCTCCATGGCATTCACAGTGGCTGAATCAAAAACAAAATATATCACTGTTTCCACAGACAGTCCAATGATGCACCACTTTAATAACATAACCAGCTATGCTAGTGGAAAACATATATTTGACTGTGGATTTCACTGAAAAACCCAAGAGACGTAATACAATATAGACTATAGACCACATTAACAATATGATCATATATTTGGGGTTAGTTGATATATGGTCTTATCTGTGATATATAAATAACTGAACATATGCACTACCATTCAAAAGTTTAGGATCTGTAAGATTTTTCTTATGCTCAGCAAGGCTGCATTAATTTGATCAAAAATTCAGTAAAAATCGTAGTATTTTGAAACATTACTTCAATTTAAAATAACTGTTTTCTATTTTATTGTATTTTAAAATGTAATTTATCATTTTAATGTGATGGCAAAGCTGAATTTTCAGCATCCTTCCTTACTCCAGCCAAATCATTCTAATATGCTGATTTGTTGCTCAAGAAACGTTTTATATTATTATTAATGTTGAAAACAGTTTTTGCTGCTTGACATTAAAATCATAAATGTGTTTACTATCATGTTTGATCAATTGAATGCATCCTTGCAGAATAAAAGTATTAATTTCTTAAAAAAAAATAAAAAAACTTTCCAACCCTAACATTTTGATCAGTAGTGCATACTTGTGTTGGTATATGAATAATGAACATGTTCAGTAAAGATCTTGTTAATAAAGATCAGAATAACAGGAAATTAATGAAAACAGCCTCTTCTAGAAAGGCACCTATAGTTTCCATTTAGAACTGTATATGAAATTTATGTAATGGAAATATTACAGCCGCTTTAAACATCTTGTAAAATTTCCCAGATACAGTAAAATGACCTAGATTAGTTATAACTGGTGACTGAAACTATAACATTAGTCATCACTTACCAAGACCTGGCCAAAATCTGCGCTATACATACATAAGTTGGCTTCATCTGCTTCGAGAACAACGAAGATGTGACAAAAAATTCTCATTAAATCCTGTCTCAGACATTCTTTCAACCTACATTTCATGCTCAGGATTTTGGGAGACTCAAGTTAGTATGCAATTAGTGGCCAACCCATGCAGCTTCAAACATCTATGCATTGGTTTACTTGGTGTCTAATGTCATTTCTCTCATAAAAGTCCAGAGGATTAGAAGATCAGTGCAAGCTGCAGTCTGTTCTTACCGTTGACGACACTCGGGGAAAGCAGAGCGGAGTCACAATCCGCCAGTCTGCAGGCTCCTTCCTCCGCCGCCTCGGGAAGCACCTGTGGAGCCTGAGCCTCCAGAGACTTCACAATATCTGCCCGGTCAATGTTCTTCAAAGCTCCATGAAGGTTCTCCACTGAAGATATGATGATGGAAGAGGATGCAAATACAAGGAAACAGGACATGAATTAACAATGAACAGCTCTATTTTTATTAACTATCATTTACAGTGATGAATAAATACTGTAAATACTGCAATTTTCACTGTTTGCTCACTTTTATTTTTTTGTTAGTTTGTTTTTCATCCACTATTTTTAGTTTAGTTTAGTTTTAGTTTTATGTCCACCTTCCGTTGATTATTTTATTCCAGTTCAGGGTTTTTAATTCAATAGTTTTCATCTTGGTTGATGATAATAAACCATTATGTATAAATGATATGTATAAAGCCACAAAGATGTAGAGTGTTAATTATGGATCCTCACTCTTGGCCTTCTTGCCCTCTCGGCTGACCCACAGGTTGAGCAGAGCTGAACTCTGGTCCAGGAGGGAGTTGGGATTCTCCACTCTGATCCGGTTTATGTCATCCACACTGAACTGCAGCTCCCTCGCCAGCTCTACAAACGAAAACAGATGAAAGCATTTATAGAATGTGAGTTAAGGGAAAAAACTGAGAGGTAATGAAAAGAGATACAAGAAGTAAAGCTCGCACCGGTCCAGCTCAGTCCCAGCTGTTCTGCTATTACTGTGATCTTTAGCTTGGTTCTCTCCATGGCATTCACAGTGGCTGAATCAAAAACAAAATATATCACTGTTTCCACAGACAGTCCAATGATGCACCACTTTAATAACATAACCAGCTATGCTAGTGGAAAACATATATTTGACTGTGGATTTCACTGAAAAACCCAAGAGACGTAATACAATATAGACTATAGACCACATTAACAATATGATCATATATTTGGGGTTAGTTGATATATGGTCTTATCTGTGATATATAAATAACTGAACATATGCACTACCATTCAAAAGTTTAGGATCTGTAAGATTTTTCTTATGCTCAGCAAGGCTGCATTAATTTGATCAAAAATTCAGTAAAAATCGTAGTATTTTGAAACATTACTTCAATTTAAAATAACTGTTTTCTATTTTATTGTATTTTAAAATGTAATTTATCCCTGTGATGGCAAAGCTGAATTTTCAGCATCCTTCCTTACTCCAGCCAAATCATTCTAATATGCTGATTTGTTGCTCAAGAAACGCTTTATATTATTATTAATGTTGAAAACAGTTTTTGCTGCTTGACATTAAAATCATAAATGTGTTTACTATCATGTTTGATCAATTGAATGCATCCTTGCAGAATAAAAGTATTAATTTCTTAAAAAAAAATAAAAAAACTTTCCAACCCTAACATTTTGATCAGTAGTGCATACTTGTGTTGGTATATGAATAATGAACATGTTCAGTAAAGATCTTGTTAATAAAGATCAGAATAACAGGAAATTAATGAAAACAGCCTCTTCTAGAAAGGCACCTATAGTTTCCATTTAGAACTGTATATGAAATTTATGTAATGGAAATATTACAGCCGCTTTAAACATCTTGTAAAATTTCCCAGATACAGTAAAATGACCTAGATTAGTTATAACTGGTGACTGAAACTATAACATTAGTCATCACTTACCAAGACCTGGCCAAAATCTGCGCTATACATACATAAGTTGGCTTCATCTGCTTCGAGAACAACGAAGATGTGACGTGTTTTGGATGGCGAAACCGCTTCGAACCTTCTGGACCCTTTATATAATCACTCCCCCACCTTCAACACCTCTCAACAGGCAGTTTTTAGCAGTACTTTCCCTTTAAAGCTCATTCTCAAAGCTAGAGCTTGCCATGCTAAGAGTATTTATGCTGTAATCAAACCAGCACCATGCGCTACATTACTGCTCATTCGCTCAGTAAATATAACGGCCGCCCATTTCTCTGAATTGTTTGTATAAGTTGCGGCCCGTCTGAGTGCAATCCCAGCATCACCCTCATAAAAGAGAGCAGTGCTTAGCATCCAATGCTCAATCACAGCCATGCATGAGAGAGTGGGCAGGTATAGAAGCAAGGATATGGGCACAGCATTCAGAAGCCCCCCTCCTCCACAGCTGAGGGGACGCGTCATGGTGCCACTATGTCTTACCCAGGCCAGGCTCATTCAGGGCGCTGTACCTCTCCCTCAGGGCGAGAGGGGTCAACGTTCTCCGCCGCTCGTCGCTACCCACCACCTAAAGCAAAAATACTGAGTAAATACAGTGCTGTAGTTTTGTCTTTCATACAGTATTTATTGGAGCATGGACATTCACATCAAGGCAAAGTGCTTATGTATAAAAATAGCTTGAAGGTGTTGTAATACACAGAAAGACATTCTGGAGACAGTATCACATCGGAAACACCAACTGCATCCTTTTATTTCCTTTTTCCAAAATGTGCATGTTCAGAAGATTAGCTTATTTGATTAACATTTGATATGAAAATGGGATGAAATCAAGATAAATTGTGTTTTTCTTATGCATCATAATTTTTTCCCCCATTTTTTGTCTAAAAGCATTTTTTTAAAGCACAAATCTAGAGTCTCAAAAATAACTTCTCGTTCAATTTTAATCCATTTAAGTTCAATTTAATCAGTTTAAATAGAATGACTATTATTTCTGTAGCCTGAACCATAACCTTTAAGGAATATCTTGAGATATCTCTAGACATATCCTGAATGTCATGTGCCCTGAAGAAGAATTATAATTTCTTTAACTATGTAGTTTAATTGAATCCTAGAGTTAAATAGTCCATTCTAGACAACTTATACAGTCTAGTGACATTAACGTCATTATGAGCTGGAGAAAAGTTAATGGAGAAAACATAATTTTGAGTGTCATTTGAGTTTGAAAGGTCGAAAAATAACTGTTTAGACAGGATTAGGTTTAAAAAAAATGTTATTAATTAAAAATAAAATTTATAAAAAAATTAAAAATATATATTTATTTTAATTAATACATTTAAATTACAATATTTTTCACTTAAAAAATAATGTGACTATGACTCCAACTGCAATATGAAAAAATATTTAAAATCTCATATCACTGACATCAACAGCAAAAAAGCATAACATCATACTGAAACATCAGCGCTCAGCTCTCTGGAGGTTTCCTCAACACCAGGAAAGCGATGCCGTTTGTTTCCAAATTAAGTCATGTCTTGCCCACACTCTACTGTGTTAATATTTAAGTGCTCATATTATAGGGTGTTCACACTTGAAAACAAACTCGGGCCACTTTTTCAGTGACCAAAAAGTGAACTATTTATTTGTTATTTAATGGGATTCAATTTCTCAGAGGTCTCCCAAGTTGGCTTCAGCCCAAAAATCAGTAGGGAATTTGCTTTGAAATCTTTATCAAGGCTGAGTGACAAAAACACAGACGTGCAAACTAGTTTTGTCTGAACAGAGTTTATGAGAACATGAGCAGGTGTTACAGATCACAGAGGAAATGAACAGCGACAGCACCTTGATGCAGGGAGGCATGGTGATGTTGAGGTTGCACAGCACGTGCTGCGTGTCCTCGTACTTGGTGGACTTGCGCAGGAAGGACAGGAACCCGGTGGCTTCCTTATTGGCGTCTCTCACCTGATGAGCCAGGGGAAATGGAGAGGGAGGGAGGAACAGACGGAGAGAGGAGAACAGGATAAAAGAGGGGTGAAAACCAGGCGAAGGGTCAAATGAGAACAAAAGAGAGGGGGGAAATGAATAAAGGGAGTGAAAGAGGAGAGAGAGAGGTAGAGAAAGAGAAAGATTAAAGAGTGTTAGACAGAGTAGCTGCCCGGCTGTGACTCATACAGCTTGACGGGAGGTGGGGAAGGGGATGGAGGCAGTCCACAGGCAGGCGAGAGACAGAGAGATTTACCTTCACTTTTACCTGGCCGTCTGTGAGATCAGACAGTAAGAGAGTGACCGTGAGAGAGAGAGAGAGAGACAGTGAGACAGACATATAGACAGGCAGGCAGATACACTGGCAAGCAGGCTAGAAGGAGAAAGAGTTAAGGGCATGCTCATGAGAATAATACAACAGTTACGAGGTGAACCACTACACCACAGAGCCAAAAATACAACACAGAGCAGCTCGTCTGAGGCTGACCGATCACAGAAAGAGTGGAAGCCACAATGACAGACACCTAAATGAAGGACAGCACTGGGGGAAATCAGAGACACTGAGGACTAAGGCTGCACCATTTGGACAAAAAATATTGACAAATATTGCCAATGTGATTCCAACTGCAATAAGATAAAGATTTAACATCTCGGATTTGTAGTTGATTTAAAGAAAGAAAAAAATACTACATCACATTGAAACAGCAGCTCACACAAACCAAGAAAGCATTATCTTTTTATTTTTTTTACAAATCAAGTCATGTTTTTTCCACGCTATACTGTCAGTACCATTTAAGGGTTTTCACACTTAACTCCTCTCAAAAAGAAAGTGACTGAAAGTTCAAAAGAACCCAGTTCCTTTTTTACATGTACACTGGAAGTGGCACCTGAAAAAGTCGCAAGGTTTTTTATGGCCTCTCCTGTCCACTTTATCTCGTTTTGTCCCATTTTCACTCACACGTCAATTTTTTAAAATAATACCACTTGAACATTATTATTAGTAGCAGTAACAGTAGTAGTAAAAACAATTTAATATTTGAATATAATTTATTAATAATTATATTAATAATTATAAATTAATATGATCTAGAACAGTAATAAAAAAAATTATCTAAAATATTAAAAATTATTTTCTTTAATATAATCTCCTGCTTTTATCTCCTCTCGTGACCCATCATTAGATTTTTAGAATAATTGGACATAACAAATTTTGTCCACTTTATCTCTCTTTGTCCACTTTTCACTTACACATAATTTTTTTGAAAAACATACCACTTGAACATTATTATTATTACTACTATTATTAATTTAATATTAAATGTGATTTATTAATATTGTTTAGAAAATAAAATAATATAATTTATTATAACATATAAAACATTTTCTGTAATATTTCTACATTATTAGATTTTCATGCTAACTTGATGTCACGAATTCGGTCCATGGACTTCCGTTTATTCACCACCAGAGGTCACCCTTTCCATTACATTGACTCTCGCACAACACAAACTGTTGCATAGCACCCCGGACTACATATCCCATCATTCATTGCACGGTTTGCACACTGCACTGATTGCACTCATTGCACACAGCTGTTTCTTATCACCTCACTCACTATATAACACCCACTCAAATTGCCATTCTCTGTTGAGTATTGTTTAGCCTGTACCCCTTTCCGAGTCTCCGTGTTTTTCTTGTTTTGCCTTGCCTGTTTTTGCGGTTTCTGATCTTTGCCTGTTTTCCTGGATTTTTCCCTCTCGTCTCGCCCCTGTGATTCTGTCTGCCGATCGGTGACCTACGCTAGCCCTAGGACTATTCTTGTGTTTTTGCCCGCCATATACCTGTTTGCCATTGTTCGACCCTGCCTGTTTACCACGTCTCTTTAATAAAAGCTTGCAGATGGATCCACACGTGTCACGTCTCGTCAGCCCCGTTACACTTGACATAATAAATTCTACATAATCTATTCTTCTTCTTCGTCTTCTTCTTATAATTAATAATAATAACAATAGTCCAGATAATATTAATACATATTATTATAATAATCAGTCATGATTGTTATAATAAAATGTATAAATATTATCTAGACTATTACAATAATATAATTTATTGTAAAATAGTAAAAAACATTTTCTGTTATAATTTTTACTGTTATCTCCTCTCCTGTGACCCAGTGTCACATTATTAGATTTTCATAATAACTTGTAGTAGCAAAAATATTTGAAATTACATTAATGTAAAAATATACAATAATGTTAACCTGAAGCACTTTGAGTTCACAGTGAACAATATAAGGAAATTGCAGTGCAAAACCAAGCCACATTCTGGACAGCTTACTAATTATGACACACTCTAGGGACGCACTAGGCCATATTACAATTTTAATTAAATTAAACTTAAAGTTAACTTTTACTGAATACATGTGCAGCCCTACTGAAGACATTAGGGAATACATAAAACAGACAAGATGATCAGACAAAGTGGTTAACAATGCTAACACACACACACAAGAATGACACACTCAATGACACAAATATGTGTAGGTTGAAAATAAAAAGCAAATTATTGACACAGGGAAGTTGGCATGAACTTCTCAGCCTATATTTCCTAAGAAACACTCACAGACAGACAGAAATAAATAAGGGAAAGACAAATGAACGTACCTTTACGGAGACAGGTAGCCGGTTGTCTCTGAAGGCCTGGAAACTGAAGCTACGGGGCTGCTGGGTGGCTTTCCTCACGGGCACCAGGTTTCCGGAACATTCTAAGTGTAGTGGCATCCCCTCCATCACCTGTGGGTGGAAAAAAAAGGAGAAACAAAAGGAGAGCAGTGAGTCAGACGGAGTCAGAGACTTAGCATTAATGCAGTGAGTTTTATTTTTGTACACATGCACGTGTACACTGCTGCATCATAAACATGCATTTCATTATTTATATCTTACTGATCCCAAACTTTTGAGTGCAGTGTATATATACATAGATACCACATATATATATATATATATATATATATATATATATATGATTTGATGTTTGCTAACCTCAATGTCCCTGCTGCGGGCCACTTCGGAGAAGTTCTCGTGCAGCTCAAGGGTTTTGTCTATTTTGTCATCGGTCATGCAGTAACAGCGCAGACGGCCCTCTCTGGCATCGTTCATCTTAGCAAATACCACAAATTTAGCCATGTACGGAACTGACATCAGCTCACGGTACAGCAGGTTGGCGAAGGTCACGGCCTCCGCCGTTCGTGGACAGTCCGCCAGCCAGAACCTGCAGCGAAACAGAGGAAAGATGCATGTACAATAGAGATCAGAAAACAGGGTCACAAGAGACGACAATTTTTACATGTAAATCGCATAAATACAAACGAGTGACAGTTCTATGGGTTGTAGTGGTGGCTACCATGAATCTGAGCAAGAATGAATTGTAATAGTGATGACATTGTTTACTTGCACACACTGTCTATGTTGTAGCAAACGCTTCATCATTTAATTAATTTATGTTGCAATTATCACTAGAAAGTGGATACGAACAACAAAACAAAACAAAATTAAATGAAAAAAAAAAAACAAAAAAACAAATCAAAAATAAAATTTACTATTTTGGTAATAGCAGTAATAGTATAGAAAACAAAAACAAAACAAAAAAACAGAACAAAAACAAACGTGCTGAGATTTGAGAATAATGTGCAATCTACATACTATAATTTTTGTGGCGCAGTGGTATTTCAGCACATATAGTGACTACTTAAAACATATTGCAGGTAGTTAGTTAATAAGATGCATATTTTTGTGCTAAAATACAACGCAATTCACAAATTGGTGCAACTGTTTAGTAAATTCACCCCTGGGTGCTCTATTCTTGCGTGCTTTTGTGTCTCACCTTGCGGACACATTGGTGGTGAAGTTGGCACAGTTGTGGGAATACATGAGCTTGGTAGTGCCAGTGATGTCCTCCCACTGAGCGGGAGCAGTGCCACCTGCAGAAGGTTTACAGCTTTTTATAAAACCCTTTTTTTCCCTTCTTCAACCGACACCATCTGGAATGAACTTGCTGAGTCTATCTTTATCCCAGTGTCCCTCTCCAGGCAGGACACCAGTCTGTTTCAGCCTTTTCCAAGCAGCTTGGCAGGGCAGCTACATTAAATCTGGCTGAGGCTGAAAAAGACTGGCATCCAAGACAATCTGCCTTTCTCCAAAACATAAATATCAATTTCAGACAATGTTTTCTTTGAAACAGATCAGGACTGGACCGTACCAATAACACTGCAGAGGAGGCGGAGGCTAGTAGTGTCTCCTTCGCCGGCATCGCGTGGACTCTCCCTCCAGGATGGAGGTAAAGGGATACGCAGTCCAATTGGTCGGTGGAATTTGCGTCGACGAGGCTCCACTGTCACAACGGGACTGAATGTGGCCTGGTTTCCTAACTGCCGAGTCAGCAACTCATCCGGGATTGGCTGGGCCTGGGTAGAGACAAGAGGAATAGAAATAAAGTCACAAAAATGTATAAATCATTTATTGCTGAAATCATTCTCAGTTATTCTCTGATGAATTTACAGCAACCTTGAAACAATATTTCTTATTCATTATTATATTATTATAAATAATAATAATTATTCTTATTATTTCTCCTACAATACATAATTAACAACTTTATGAACAAAGGTAAAACATTTTTTTGAAGTATCACCTATAATCACATTATGAGTGGTGATTATGTGCAAGTTCAGTTTGAATGGGCTTATGGGGCTGTAATCATATGTGACCCTGGACCACAAAACCAGTCTTAAGTCACTGGGGTATATTTGTAGCAATAGCCAAAAATACATTGTATGGGTCAAAATTATAGATTTTTCTTTTATGCCAAAAATCATTAGGATATTAAGTAAAGATCATGTTCCATGAAGATATTTTGTAAATTTCCTACTGTAAATATATCAAAACGTAATTTTTGATTAGTAATATGCATTGCTAAGGACTTCATTTGGACAACTTTAAAGGCGATTTTCTCAATATTTAGATTTTTTTGCACCCTCAGATTCCAGATTTTCAAATAGTTGTATCTAGGCCAAATATTGTCCTATCCTAACAAAAGGTTATATATTCAGCTTTCAGATGATGTATAAATCTCAATTTAGAAATATTTACACTTAAGACTGGTTTTGTGGTCCAAGGTCACATATATTCTGTAAATTCTTTATGAATCATAAATTCATTATTGTGTGCTGATATTGCTTCACTGCCATTCTCTACATCCTAAAATGTCCTGAAATTTCACCTGTAGGCCAAGTCGGACCCTCTTAGTGACCGCCGTGTCAGGGAAAATGGCCTGGACCTGGGGTACCAGCTTACTTGTCAGCTGACCTCCCTCCGGACCTATAAGATCGCTCTCCTGCTGGACACGTGACACCACAGCAAAGTAGAGAGGGAAGTCTGTGGAGATGATGCGGCGGATTCGTTTCTTCTCCAGCTCCTCCTGACTTTCCAGATCTGATGAAGGCACCCAGAGAAAACAAGGTCATATATGTCAGTCCTGCAGAAATTGTTGGTGCAGAGTAAAGTGATATGTCATTTGTCTGCTAGCACCTCATGCTACATAACTGAAAGAGAAAATAAAACTATAAAAGACTTATGGGAATTCGTCTCAGTAAAACCTAAGACTACCTTCATCCATGCCATTAAGGATGGTTTCTAGAACATCATCACCATAGCGGTTTCGATGCTCTTTCCATACAGAGCCATTCTCACTTCGGAGAACCACTAGTTCCCGATCACCTCGGCTCAAGGATGCGAAATGAGGGATCTCCACTATCACTGGCCTGAAAGGGATGATGGGAAAGCGCAAAAGCATTTGTTATTGTATTGTATTGTTCCTTCAGTCATTGATAGGAAAAATTCAACTTGGCACAGCAACACAATAGAAAGAAAATAAGAAGAATATCCAAGAAGAATATACATTTCATAAATCCCTAGCAATACATAAAAATAATATAAACAATACATAAAAATAATATAAGTAATATAAAAATATAGTAGAATAGCAGACATTAAAATAGGTCAATTAAATGTACATTATATTATAATAATTATATTATTATAATTATTACATGATATGATATTATATTATTATATGATTTGTTATTACTGTTCTGTTGTCAGAAATCTGAAAAGATCTTTATTTGACAACTAGATTCTGAGTGAATACAGTAAGATTTATTCACAAAAATTATTTTCATTCTGTATTTATTCAGTTCTACTATAAGCGCTACAAAAAATATTTTTAACTCAGTATTTTTTGTCTGGTTTTCAGTACAAATATCGAAACATTCTTAAATCAAGACTAATCAAAACAAATTCAGATTTGCTTAAGAAGTCTTGTTTTTTGAAAACATTTTTTTGTATCAAAATTAAGCGAGTTTATGCTTAAAACAAAACAAACAAACTAAAAAATCTGCCAGTGGGGTCAGAAAAATAAACTTAATTCAAAGAGAAAACAAGTTTATTTTTCTTGCCCCACTGGCAGTTTTTTTTTATGTTTTGTTTTAGCATAAACCCACTATTTTGAGAAACTTACTTCAAATTAATTTATCTTGAGTGTTTAGATATGTGTACTGGTAAATAACACAAAAATACTAAGAAAGAAAGAAATACTAAGAAAGAAAGAAACTGAATATATATACAGTGGGTACGGAAAGTATTCAGACCCCCTTAAATTTTTCACTCTTTGTTATATTGCAGCCATTTGCTAAAATCATTTAAGTTAATTTTTTTTCCTCGTTAATTTACACACAGCACCCCATATTGACAGAAAAACACAGAATTGTTGACATTTTTGCAGATTTATTAAAAAAGAAAAACTGAACACTTTCTATAGTAGTGGCTCACATATATATATATATATATATATATATATATATATATATATATATATATATATATATATCATTAAGGAACCAAAATAGCAGATCCAGAACGGTTGAAGCATATGCCATCCTACACACAGACCCTTACCCCAGAAACTGCATACTGGAAGGCCCTAGGGAGATAATACGAGATGCAAGTCCCTCTCCCTCCACGAGAGGAGGTGGGGTGGTGAGTTTCTGCGGTTTGACCAGACGGCAGGTGATGCGTGTGGGGGCTGCGCAGGTGCGCGGTGGGATGATCACACGCAGACCATTATGCCTGCTGCCACGCATGGACCCGCCTCTCGCATCCACCATGAAGCTGACCAGAAACCTGTCAAACAACCAGCCAGTGAGTAAACCGGGTACAATAACTTTTCAAAACAGCCGGAAGCCCAGTATAAAGCTAAAACATCTTCAAAGGAACCTACTTCCTACACACTTGATGACAGTGAAGACATGTATAAAAATAAGCATTTATGACCAACAGATAAATACGGAGATAAAAGCGGTGAGAAGCCATTAGCAAGGGTTGGTAACAGACGGTTACTGGATTTGTTAGGCTGAATGTGAAATATGTGCACTGACCCAGTGTGGATGGGGCTGGCCACTGGGCTAACGTTGTCTGAGGTCTCTGTGGCTGGACTACTGGGGATTAGAGAGTCCTCGTCATACTCCTTTGGCAAAGGGACAGGTGTGTGCTGCAGACACACAGGAGTAGCACAGATCACACAGACACAAAGACACACACAAACAGAGATAGAATGGCAGCTTTATGAGACTAAGAGAGAGAAAGAGACCACTCTGCTTGGAAAACCGGGTAACAGCAGCTGGTTAAACTGTTTTGAAAAAGGGTTAACTAACTCAAGCTCCTTCCAGCTTTGTCAAGATGGTCTACCTGTCCTAACAAGCTTGGAAAAGATGGTCTACCAGGCTGGAGTCCACTAGGGGACCTCGGCAAATGTTCAAGTGGGGCTCAGAATTACTTCAAATTAAACAATACAAGCATTAAAATAATCAAACAACTAAACATTTAGATATTTCTTATTTTAATTCACCCCCGCAACAGGGTCTTAAAAAACCTGAATATATGAGGAAGTTTCATTGTTAAAGTGACTTCTAGACCTGAAAAAGCCATGTCAATTACTAGGGCTAAGGGGGCTTTTGAATTTTGTTGTGGACAGTGGGGGCTTTGGAATTGAGAACTGAAAAAGAGGTGACCAGCTAGAAACCACCAGACCTGGATTTTTTAGTAAGGAACATTTCTTATTTCAGCACATGAAGCAGAAAAAAACAATACCTGGTCCAACATGACAGTTTCAGGTGACACGCATGGAATTCTGGGAATTGCGGGCGAGTAAGGTCTGGAGAGAATGAAGGAGATATTTGTAATCTAACTTTAATACTTTATTTTAAGGTAAAAAAAAGTGTTTATTCTTGTTCTAGAATCTTAGCCAAAGGACAATTTTGTTGCATTGTGCTCTTGTGACCTACGTCGTGCCCATCACGCTCTCAAAGTCTCTCAGGGTTTTCTTGGGGGACAGAAAATCATCATCTTGGTCTTTCAGGTCATCCAGCTTCAAATAGCGAGCCCCATCCATCCCGAGAAGTTCATCACCTACATACAGCACAAAATATGTCAGAGACACTGATGTAGGAGGTTTGCAGGAAAAGGACTAATAAAAAGGAAGAAAAGCTTATTTTAAGTTATTTCATCGTTTACAATCCACCATCATTACCGGTCGAGCACATACAAGAACCTTCACTCATTCACCAAGTTCAAGTAATGAAGTCATACACACACAGAGCTAATGGAAAACATGAAGAAATCAAGATACTTGATAAGATTGCATGGTATTGGTTACTGAAGTGGGCATGCCCGGTAGTGCAGAGAAGATCACACTTAATCTGCATGTGAGAGATAGTTTGGTGTTATTGTAGGGGCTTAATCACAGGTGTTCATAGATGCGTAAAACAGCCACTGTGACAGTTCATTTTGGAGCCCTCTGCTGAGTCAAATAATCATCATTAGTCAATTAGTAAAATGATCCACTCCCAGTGTGACTCCCATAGTGTTTGGATAAAGAGAACCTCATCTTTGGGTGTTTCTTCAATTATGAGTACTACTATGTCCCAGCGGTTGATTTCAGCATTTTTCTATTTTGTATCATTTTTTGATGTTTTCATTATTTATTTTTGATAGTTTTCAAATACCTTTTATTGTTAAAACTTTCATTGTTTTACCCATGTCTCAAAAAAAAATAATTAAAAAAATAATAATATATATATATATATATATATATATATATATATATATAATACACAGAAAACAACTTATATAACACATAACACATTAAATATATATAGTTTAATATAATATAATACAATATAGTATAATATAATATAATACATGTCTTATGTATAACTATTATTGTTTTACATATATACACATTAAATATAAAATAAACATATAAAATGTTTATAATATAATATAATATAATATAATATAATATAATATAATATAATATAATATAATATAATATAATATAATATAATATAATATATGTTAGAAATTGACTTGCAGTAAAAGTGTGTTTATTTAATGCACAGAGCCAAAAGTGCCCATAGTTGAAGAAACACCTTTGGAACAAACTGAGAACACAAAGTAATTTTGGATGCAGTCCTGTCAATGATGGATCCACAAACACATGTTACTGTCAGTAAAGGAAAAGAAACATCATGACTACACAGTGACGAGGGGCCGACGCTGTAGTAACACGAAGCGACATGTTAGAATAGAGAGTGGTTAGAGAGACTTGAGGGCCAGAGACAAGATGAGAGTGCTTGAAATGGAGGCACACGTTTCACGAACCACTGAGAACCGGACAACCAAGCCAGAAAGAAGGAGACGCTCCTACCTAATGTTAGCTGAGAAACTCCTACAGCGGGAAGGAAGAAGGAACATTTCAGGCTGGCGTTGCTACCGTAGATTTACAGTAGGTTTAGATTATCATGAAACACTTTGCTTTCAATCCATTATAGTCCTGAATAAATGGAGATTTATCAATCATCTCTCAGAAGAAACAAACACATTTAACGATTAGATCCAAGAAAGGGAACGGATCAATGAAAAATTCGGTCATCTTTTAATAACTCTGTCCAAATACTCTGTCTTTCCAAACTTTCTTTCTTTTGTACAACATATAAGGAAATATTCAGCAGAATGTCCAAGCTGCTCTTTTCTTTACAATAAAATTGGGTGGTGACCAATGGCTATCAAGCATCAAAAAATACATTAAAGTGATACAAAAGCATCATAAAAGTGGTTCAATCAAGTGCTATATTCTTTTGAAGCCATATGATAATGTGTGAAAAACAGAGCTTAAAATGCTTTACAATAGACACAAAATGCTTTAATATACATAAATTATCCTATGTGTGTAAATCACTTTGTGCAGTCAAGTAAAGTAGTCAAAGCAGCACTATGAGTGGGATAACATGTCACTGTCACTTTCAGGATATGACCCACCACCTCATCTGCCTACTGGCTTGTGTTTTTAATTCGAGAATCTAGCACCAACCTCACGGCACCGAGACCTTGTCACAGCAGCTGAGAATCAGTGCTTTAATGCGCCATTTACTGCAGTATGATCCTTCAGGCTAAATCCAATCTGAGCCACCCATACACACCTTCATCTTCTGACACGTCCAGTATTTCATCCACCGTCTCTGGGAAACTCATGCGATGCTTCTCGGTGGTGATCTGAGGGATAGAGAGGGAATATATGAACAAATCGAGATGGCGAATGTTGCACAAATTCAGACTGGATACAGTTTGTGAGATGCAAATGGCTCTCACCATAGACACGGATTCCTCAGTCACCAGTTTCAGCACATCAATGACAGAGATGTACCCTAGCCGCTTAGCGATGCCCAGAGGTGACGTCCCATTCTGCCACAGATAACACAGTCAGGTTACTAAATCTTACATGTCTTTTCAACAGGATAATTATTAAATAACAGCTTATGTTTACTGCAGAGAACTGGCAGCATGACAGCAGAAATTACCCAGACCAAATGCTCTTCATCAGACATTCAAGCAGTCTATACTATTTTTTGATGAGAAAAATTATATTTCAAGTATGGGGGAAAGGGGTCTGCTCACAGTGGTGATCTCATTGGGCAGGGCTTCATGTTTCAACAGTAGAGTGACGATGTCTGTATGGCCCTGCTGGGCTGCTTGATGTAAAGGAGTGTATCCCAGCTGGAAAAGAAAGATAAGGGAAAATAAGATTGCAGAAGTACATACTAGCACTGAAAATTGTACAAAAAGAAAAGCCTGTGTAGTGTGTACAGTACATCCAGAAGTGTAGCACTTACTCTTGTCTTGCTGTTAACATGTGCTTGCTGCTGGAGTAAGAACTTCACCATCTTTATGTTCCCATAGTGACATGCCACATGTAAGGGTGTGTAGCCCATCTACCAGAGAGAGCGATTTAAAAGGGTTATAAGGAAGTATCGCACAAGGCACTGAGGGCACAAATTCTAGGACATTCTACAGATGGCCCTGCTGAGTGTGTGTGTGTGTGTTTCTGTGCGCATTGAAGTATCTTACCCTTGAGGCTGCATAGACTGAAGCCCCCTGCTTCACCAGCATGTCTGCAATGCCCACATGCCCTTCCTGAGCAACCAGGTGCAGAGGTGTCAGCCCATTCTGTACAAACACACACACACACACACACACACACACAAAGGATATCAGAAGAATATTAAATGGATCCTTTTCCATATTCTTCCAATACATCTCAACCTTTTTTAGTTTTTTCTCTCTCTAACGTAGATCGAATACCAATTAACCAAAGCTTAAACAGTGTATAACCTTGTTGCCCAGGTTAACATTGGCCTGTTTGGATATGAGCAGCGCCACCATATCAGGTTGCCCCTCCTGTGACGCCAGGTGAAGCGGGGTGATGCCCTGTAGTGACTCTGAGTTGGCATTAGCTCCATACTGCAGCAGACTGCTTGCCACCTCCAGTTGGTTCTGCTTGGCTGCGATATGCAGGGCTGTGTAGCCATTCTGTCAAATGGAAGAAAACTAAAAGTGACTGTTTTTCTTGGATGGTTTTTGAAAGTGTGAAATAAAATTGCAACCCTTAACGTCACAGCTCAGAATAGTCGCGTAAGATAGATGTGTATCTTACTCTCGCCGTGATGTGCGGAGAGCCGCCCTTGCTGACCAGCAGCTTGACTACATCAAGGTTGTTGTGATGGACGGCCACGTGCAAAGAGGTCAAGCCATTCTGAGGGGAGAGAGGAGACACATGGCCTCAGTCAGCCACCGCTGACCATCATCTGATATTAGCAGACAAGTACTGAGATATCAGATGTTTGTCTTGATAAATTACCTTTCCAGCTGCATTGGGATTGGCCCCTCTTTCCAAAAGCAGCTCTGCCACATCCACTTTCCCGTATTTACATGCTACATGTAGAGGAGTAAATCCTTTCTGTAAGAAAACACAGATATACACACTGAGAATGCAGGTGAAGCTGTGAATATTTAGTTGTCAATTAGTGAAATTGACTGTTTGTTAAGCTGCGCCCACCTAGTAGCAGTTACTGCTGCTAACTTTACAGGCTTTACAGAATTTTGCATAGGAGTTTTTTTTAACCATATTTCTAAATAAACACACAAGACGCCAATGGATGCCAACAGTTGGACTTCAAGACATAATTGCTCAGAAGCATTTTAAGGCAGGGCTCAGCGAAGGGCTAACTGACAGGAGAGAACCTTGGTCATTTTGGTTTGTTGGGCATTCCCATCGAGCAGGATGCGTGTGGTTTGGGAGTGTCCCTCACGGGCAGCGATGTGCAAAGGAGTGTGACCTGCTGTGGTGGTCGAATCTGGATTGGCCTTATGTTCCAAGAGCAGCTTCACCAACTCCTTATGTCCCATTCGAGCGGCACAGTGCAAGGGGGTTTGATCATCCTGTGAAATGAAAGAGCGAGATAGAGGACACGTGAGATTTAAAAAAAAAATTAAAAAGAAGATAAATTAAGTTAAAACAGCTTGTATGACTGGTGTACCTTCGCTTTGGCATCCACCTGTGCATTGTTCTGTAGCAGAAACTGAGCCACCTCACAGTGCCCCGCTCTGGCAGCCATATGCAATGGGGTCTCCACTTTCTACAACGCCACATTGAAACACAGTCACAAACATTTAGTTCTGAAAAGAAAACTGTGAACACTGCCATGATCGTTGCTAAAGACATTAGCCCATTTGTAAAGCAGAATAGCTGTGCCTTTGGGATTTGATTGTTGGGTATCTCCGAGGTGCTGAATAGATTACACATTTCTTACCACATTAGATGCGTTGGGTGAAGCTCCTCTCTGAAGCAGACTCTTCACTATATTGAGATGCCCCATGAACGCAGCCACATGAAGAGGGGTCAGACCCGACTAAGAGACAAAACAGGATGATCGCTACCACCTTGTTCATTTAAATGGGGAGTCATCTCAATTATCACCAGTAAAATATGGAGTGCCACAAGGATCTGTCCTAGGTCCTCTGCTAATTTCGATATACATGTTGCCCCTTGGTAATATTATTAGAAAATACGGGATTAGTTTCCACTGTTATGCCGATGATACTCAACTATAAATCTCAACAAGACCAGATGAAACTTCTAAATTATCTAAGCTAACAGAGTGTGTTAAAAATGTAAAAGATTGGATGACCAATAATTTTCTCCTATTAAATTTGGATAAGACAGAGATATTACTTATTGGACCAAAAGACAGTACACCGAATCTCGTGGATTACAATTTGCAGCTAGACGGATGTACGGTTACTTCCTCTACAGTCAAAAAGGTGGGTGTTCTAGACTGGACTATTGTAATGCACTGCTAGGTGGTTGTCCTAAATCTTCAATAAACAAGCTACAGGTAGTCCAAAATTTTACTATTGTCATTTTGCATTATTGACACACTATTTTCCTAATTAATGCTGTTCAGTTGCTTTGACACAATCTGTATTGTTAAAAGCGCTATATAAATAAAGGTGACTTGACTTGACAAAAACATGCATTTTCGCAAAGACCTTAAATGTGTTTAATGATTCTGTCATGCACCAATGGATCAACAAAAATATATGTAATTTAATATTAAGATAATATATATTAATATTAAAGGATTTATTACACTAATAAAAATAATTTATGTTAAAAAACTAATGGTATTAATGCTGTATACCTTACCATTCAAAAGCTAACCAAGGCTACATTTATTTGATTAAAAATACAGTAAAAACAGTAATATTGTAAACTAATATTACAATTTTAAATAACTAAAATAACACATTTTTTCCTGTGATAACAAAGCTGTATTTTCAGCAGACATTAATCCAGTCTGTATTGTCACATGATCCTTCAGAAATCATTCTAATAAGCTGATTTGGAAGTATTTCTTATTACTGTCAATGTTGAAAACAGTTGTGCTGCTTCACATTTTTTTGGAAACTGTGAATTTTTTTTTATGATTATTTGATAAAATAGAAAGTTCAAAAGAACAGCATTTATTTGTAATATAAATCTTTTGTAACAAATATTTTACTGTCAGTTTTGATCAGTTTAATGCATCCTTGCTGAATAAAAGTATTAATTTCTTAAACAAATCTTACTGACCCCAAAGTTTTGAACTTTTGGGTAGTGTATTATGTTAACATATTCTTGTCTTGTGAAATAATTATGAATTTGTCACCTTTCATTCCTACATAGTCTTTCTATTTTCTACAAGGATCAAGCTAAAGGCGTAGATGGTGCAAAGTGAACAGAGGTTATCCATCAAAGTGACAGCCAGAGAGTAATCTGACCTCAGTCACAGCCTCCAGAGACGCTGAGTGCTTCAGCAGAAGGTCCATGGACCGCATGTGGTTCTTCTTGCAGGCAATGTGCAATGGAGTGAATCCATTCTGAAAGACAGACCAAAAAAATCAACTAATGTTATGTTCAGTTGTATGCTAATAAATGGTGGACCAGGTTTATGTACTATTAATACTGCTCTATGTGTATTGACTAATCTAATTATATCAATATCAAATTCAGCATGTTCTATGGATGTAATCAATTACGTTAATTGGAAATATTTATGAAAAGAGAAAAGAAGTATGGAAAAGGAAAATGACAGATGCACTAACCAATGCACGGGCATTAGCTTTTGCCCCTTTGTCGAACAGCACCTTGACCATGCGGTGGTGCCCACAGTGTGCTGCAACATGCAACGGGGTCAGGTGGTCGAGGGTAATGTCATCGATCTCTGCGTTGTATTGCAGCAGCTGCCTCACGCAGTCCATGTGATCGCCCTGCGCTGCCATGTGGATGGGAGACAGACCGTTCTGCAAGGAGGAACCCATGATTATTATCAATTGATCAGCATGATTATGGCATCAATAAAGCTAAAATCCATAACTGTATGGCCCATCTTAGTAATATAGTTTGGTCACCTTGGTCTTGGCCTGAATGGGAGCACCCTGGTCTAGCAGGATCTCCACCACACGTACATGACCGTTCCTGGCTGCACAATGCAGTGGCGTCAGCTCATCCTGCAGAAAAAATAAGCAATTTTGCAAATGGGTTTATCAGCCATGTTTCAATGTATCCTACATGAGCTGCATTTTCTGTCCTTATTTATGTATGCATACCATTAAAACAGCAAGCTGTCACAAAGAGAAAATACCTGTTTTTCCCAAGAGAAATTAAAATAGGTCATCCTCCACTAACTAGACTTAGATAAGTCAGATTCAGCAGTCTCAGCAGTGAGATTTTTCATTAGCCAGTAAATAATGTCACTGTGAGATGTGACTATGGTTGAATAGATACTATGAATTCAGGAGGGTCGACTAGTTAGTGTGTCATCGAACTAACTGACTAGTCTATTTAGATATTATGAAGACAGGAGGGTATATATACTGTATATTGTGTATTGATTTTCTCATTTTAATATTTTTAATATTTCTATTTAGCTTTAATTTATATTTATTTCAGTGTTAGGACTTCAGCTTTCAGTTGCATTTTTATACAACATACAACATTTTTATGAAATCATTTTGTCAAATTTTCTTTTTAAAAAGGTTTTTTAAGTTTAAGTTTTGTCATCTAAGCTTTATATTTCATTTTATTTTAGCTTTATTTCAATGATAATTATTTTTAATACTTTTAGTTAACAACAATAACACTGCAAACTGAGGCTATTTGATTATGAAAATATGTTGCACGTCCCTAATGGATACTGTACCTTTGTCTTGGCATCTATCTGAGCTCCTCTGTCCAACAGAAGCCGCACCATAATCACATTCCCCCTCCTGGAAGCGATATGTAATGGAGTGATGCCATTCTTCAAGAGAAAAGGAGAGAAAGTGAGAAGTTCATATAATCGTTCACATAATAATTGGAAGCATTTAATTTGAGAGCTGCACTGACCTTCGGCATGAAGTTCACGTTGGCTCCTCTGTTTAACAAAAGCTGTGCGACACTGAGATTCTCATAATGGGCTGCGATGTGGAGAGGAGTAAAGCCGGTCTACGGGGAAAAAATGGTGTAGCATTTCATTGATTCAGTGTATGTACAAAACAGGAACACCTACGCTGACGGATCTTTAAACAAAGTCAGTTCTGTTTATCTTGTCACATAATCATCACTGCAATTACAATCCAAGAGCGGCTCCATTGAGCTCAGTGAGTCATGATGCGTAATCTCACTCGTGCTGCGATAAAACCTTTCAGATGTGCACAAACACACATACTTTGCTGAGGACGTCTGGGTTTGGGTCGTTCTGCAGGAGTACGGCAGCAGTGCGCGTGTCGTCGTTGCGTGCCGCGATGTGCAGAGCCGGCAGACGCACTTTGCCCTTGGTGCCATAGTTTATCAGGAGGGCCACCACGTTCTCGTGACCCTGCTGAAGAGCTACCGCCAAAGGAGTAAAGCCATCCTGGAGGGCGAAATCAAGAGTTGTAGGGTCATTCGGGATTGATTTCAGCTGAGCTTGATTTCAAGATGTCACTCACCTCAGTTGGAAGGCTCTGATTGGCTCCATGTTCAAGTAGATATTTTACCACTTCTAAGTGGTTCTCCTGTGCTGCCATGTACAGGGGACTGAAGCCTTTCTGCAGAACACAACATAACACCACAGAACAAATTAATTAAGCTTTTCATCAACATGTTTCAAGGTTTGTTGATTCATGTTTTGAGGCTCAGACTAACCTGAGACTGGGCATTGACGTTGGCACCATAATTGACCAGTTCAGCAATCACTTTCTCTTGACCGGCCAGAGCAGCAATATGAAGGGCAGTATTCCCTTTCTGCAAAATGAATAGTCATGTAAATATAATACAGAGAAAGATCCGACAATGCATGTTAAATAGCATATACAGTATTTTGAAGATGTCATTTGATTTTATTGCTTTTATTTGGTTTCTTTTTTCTTGTTTTTAGGGCTTTGCAATTGCAAATGCTAAAAATAGCGATATGAGCATGTGCGATTTCTACCGCATGAAACAGTGATTTTATTTATTTATACGTTAATTCAGAATTCTGTAACATTCTAAATGATTATTGCAACAAAGCAAGACTACAAACTTTTTTATCATTGGAATTTAGAGTTATTTTGTCTCGTCTGTTCTAAAGACATTGTACTGTTTTACTGTAGGTTTTTTTTGTTTTTATTTTATTAAAATGTCTTATATTTTGACACTTTTACCTACATTTTGTGTGAAAGGTGCTATAGAAATAAAATGCATTATGACATTAGTGGGAGGGACATTCTCATTCTACATATTATTTAATTGGACAAAAAGTTGTAATGAAAGACAAGTCATCAATATTTTTGATACATTTTCCCAGATGAGATAAACCGTACATTTGAAATGCACAAATTTGTAATTTTGTCAACTTTTATAAGTACACTAACCTATATTTCAAATCTCAGGAATGATGAGAAGTGTGTTGCCTATTGCTATTGCCAACATAATAAATGGCAAAGTTCAATAAATAGTTATTTATTAATATAGATATTCAGAATAAATATTTCTTCCACTGGGTAAGAGTTCATTAACAGTTAATATCTGTAGGATAATGACTTTTTACAGTTGCCAAGAAATGTACTGTATAACAACTGAGCCTGAACTATCTCATTTATAAATCTGTTTTTGGCCCGCTGGAGGAAGCCTGACTGACTGAAGGAAGTATATTTACCTTTGTAGTAGTCTCCAAGTCAATTCCATTGTGCAGCAGCTCCAGCACCATCTTAACATGGCCTTCTTTGGAGGCCAAATGCAACCCATTAAGCCCATTCTGCGAATACAAGAGAAAACATGAGGTGTTGAAAAACTCACTCAAAAAAAAAAAACACACACCCTGACACATCTCAAGTCTATTTCTTTATCTCTCCCTGTCTACCTGTCAAATGACTCACTGAGAGGAGGGCAGCCTAAAAATAACAGTGAAGCACTGAGACATCTACAGATCTGTGGAGCTCTCATTAAACAGGGCGTGGAAATAGAGCGGCGGAGGAAACAGACAAAAAGGCCGGGAGAGGTAAAGGCTGATCAGGAGAACGGCCCACGGTACAGTGTGTGCTTCTGTAAGGAAGCTGGGTGTGTAGTCTGGTGCGGCCATAGGGGGGCTCTGCTCTGCTAGTCTGACTGGAATCCCCTTCATACTGCAGTGTCACTCATCTCTAATGAGCTCCTACTGCAGCTGCACAGTGCATGCGGAGAGGAGAGAAAGACAGAATGGAGACGGAGGGGTGCTTGCAGATGGTGAGGAGGAGCCCTGATGAAAACAGCCACACGTGCCCGCTTGGTATTAATATTCACTGGACGTGCTTCATAATGTTTTGGGAAATATCACACAGTACTGAAACCCACACTCAGTGTTATACATCCATGGATTATATGAAAATATATAGTAAAAATGTATACCATTCAAAATCTTAGGGTCAGTTATTTCCTTTTTAAAGAAATTAATACATTTATTTAGTAAGGACGCATTAAATTGATCAAATGAAATGATGTGCTTGTGAATTGATGTTTCACGAGAACCAAATGAGGGATCATGTGACACTGAAGACTGGAGTAATGAATGGCCGCTGAAAATTCATCGAATAAATGCAGACTTGGTGAGCAAAAGATACTTTTTTGTGTGTGTGTGTATATATATATATATATATGTGAATTGATGTTTCACGAGAACCAAATGAGGGATCATGTGACACTGAAGACTGGAGTAATGAATGGCCGCTGAAAATTCATCGAATAAATGCAGACTTGGTGAGCAAAAGATTTGTGTGTTTGTGTGTGTGTGTATATATATATATATATATATATATATATATATATATATATATATATATATATATATATATATATACACACACACACACAATACTATATATATACATATACATATTAAAGATTGTATATATATTGTGTACATAATGAAATGATATTTGTGCAAAGTAGCTAGCCAAGTACTAGATTGCTCATTCAGCAATCAGGGATAGTTCACCCAAAATGCTAATTCTGTCTCCATTTCATGGCTAAATAAGGGTTATTTGGTACACACTATTATCCAAAGCCACTTACATGGCACTTGATACATTTTTTTTGTTGTTGTATTTTTTATACACAAAAGCATGGTCCATAGTGTGCAAGAATGGATGGCAAGATGTTCAGTGAATAATTACTTAATTTTCACTTCTGTATAAGTAATGACTGTTAAAGGGAAATAGAGTGTGCCTCAGTTCTTGCACATCCTTTTGCAAATGGCTTAAAAAATAAAATAAATAAATAATATATATATATATATATATATAAACCTTTTGTCCATATTAACAATTTTATCTGATTCATAGATAATTTTTAGCTATATCACGATTAGTTGTTAATAGATGAAAAGGCTTTACATTAGTGCTATTTACAACCGTTAGTTAGTCACCTGTAAAATAAACACAAATTACACTCTAAGACAAGATCATCAATTGTCTAAAAATCTCATTAACAATTACCTGCTTAGAGCTGAGGTGGAAATTAAGCACATGCTTTGTGCTTTAAACTACGTTTTTGCTGATTCTCGAATGTTCTCTAGTCCCAAAGCACCCGTGCCGAGGCCTTAATCGGTCTCACTGTCAAAAGCGGTCTAAGCTCCTCACAAAATGTTTTGCGACAGCACAGAGACATTGACACTGTGATATCAGCATCACACAGAAGTATACCTTCAGTTTATCCAAACACTTAACCATAAATACATCCAAGACGCATGGAAATTGAGTCTAGGTTGCATATCGGAGGCCGTGGCAGGTTCCCGATGCAATCCTGTCTGTGAATGATGTTATAAGGTGGTGTAGTAGTCGATGTGTGTGTGTGTGTGTGTGTGTGTGTGTGTGCTGCAAGCATACAGAGTGGGCGTTCATTTTCAGAGCTTTTCAATGCGGGAAGCCAGCCAGCCACTCTGGTCCATTCACTAACCCGTCTCTGAGAACCAAACATAGCTCTTCTGTAAATATCACAACATGCTATTTAAAGCAAGTATCACAGAGTGTTATGATGCAAGTGGGTGCAAAAGCATGACCAGTGAGGGGGTTAGAGGAGGAAGACGTGCTGGTGTGATTAATTACGGCAATTTACTGATTAGGGCATTGAATACAGTTCTGCATTGACACTGTAAACACAGCTGTACTGTCCAACCACAAGAACATTGGGGGGTTAAAACAGACGAGAAAAACACACTGGCACAGGCAAACAAAAACACACAGATGTGGATCCTAATCTAAAAGATGATGAATTTATTGCCATTTCTGAATTTAAGCCATACTATTAATGGGCTTCAAAGTTACTTTGGGCTTTCAAGGTATGGATGTGAAACTGGCAATGCCATGCACATTGGTTTCCCTGCATTTTGAAAAAAATCAACAATTTAAAAAATACTAAACATTCATGTAAAACATAGAATCTCTATTGTAGCTTGCCAGAGACAAAAAAAAATAAAGTATGTTAAGAATTTTAATAATTCCCTTCCATTTTTGATGTATTATTTCTATTGTGTTAGGGGTTCATTTGAGCATAACAACAAGTGCACAATTCCTGCATGAAAAAATGTCATGAAAAATGACTACTTATAACTGTGCAAATAACTAGTATTTAAAATTAAAAGGTTAATTTTTTGACAGATTTTCTGATGGTGAAACTCAACTAGATAAAGAAATTTTCCTTAGATGATTCTTCCTCTAGAGTCTTAAATTCTCATATATATCATATTTTAGTGTTTGACAAGTTCCATTAAAGGTTATTTTGCTTTTTACCAGACTCTCTAGTGATCTTCAAAGGGTTTTAAAGTGCATGGAAAACAATTGGGGGTCAGTCTGACCCCAACACAGAAGTCGTTTGTGGTATAATTCATATCTGTAATAATGTTTAACATACTACTCACACAAACACATAGACCCACATGCTTGATGCTAGACATTGCAGCATTAATTTTTTTCTCACCTGATTGGCTATGTTGATGTCTATTCTATGTTTGATATGGTCCAGAGCCTTCTCCAGATTACCTGAGCGTGCAGCACGGAGGAAACTGGTTGATGTGTCTGCCTGAAATAGATAGAGAGAACAAGAAATGAAAACGAAATCCAAATCTTAATCGAGAAATGGATTGTTAAATTACAATTTTTTTGCACATGGTCTTTTGGATGTTTAGTACTTAATAAAACATCAGCGATACAGTCTGACTTACAGCTCTAATTAGGAATAAATTCTGTGTTGTGCATGTCCACAGAGAAGATGAGAAGATCTGGTTTCAGCCGGCTCAGGGGCCATATAACAGCAACCCAACAGTTACTGAATTAGTTTTTCTTTGTGTAAAATCATCTAATTTTCCAAAGTGTGATGTTATATACAGGGCTGGTTTTGCCCCTAAAGACATATCAGCACTTGCTTTAAAGCTGAGGTAAATTAAAAAAAATACTTTCTTGTAACCCAGCTAATTTTGTGGAGACAAAGTAAGCCATTTGTACTGAAGGCTGATTTTCATGACAAGTGTATAAAAAAATTTGAGCATCTCCACCAGCCCAACATAGCAACATTGGCTTAAAGGGGTCATATGATGCTATTTTAAAGATCATTATTTTGTGTATTTGGTATAACAGAATATGTTGACATGCTTTAATGTTCAAAAAACACATTATTTTTCAAATACTGTACATTATTGTAGGTCCTTTATGCCCCGCCTCTCTCAAACACGTTGTTTTCAACAAAGCCCCCTCCTTTGACAAGCGCAGTCTGCTCTGATTGGCCAGCTGACCCAGTGCATTGTGATTGGCCGAACACCGCAAGCACGCGTCGGAAATGTAACACCCCTTACCATAATCGTGAGCTTCAGCTTTCAAAGTAAATATCAAGACTGTTAATAATGTGTTAGTTTTACGATCAGTTCAAGCCCGAAAGGGCAACAGAGTCACATGACAGACACAGTGATGATGCAGTACACAAGCCGCGGTTAAGACAGCTGATGTGCTATGATTTCTGACAGGCAGTTCACTCTCCTGTGATGTGACCCTGTTCCCCTCTCACACACACCCA